AGAATTTATGTCAATCTTGAGAAAAAAGAAAGGAGGGCAAAGGAGACTTTCACGTGGAGGGCACCTGCTGGCTGGCTGGCTGTTGAGTGATGAGGAAAAAAGGTCTTATTCTTTTGGAGTAGTTAAAGCTGAACTCAGTAACCATATGATTTCTGCAGTGGTGGTCAATGTACATCAGAATAAAACATTTGGCAACTGTAATTCTTTTCCTTAGTTTCTGAAATGTAATTCTATTTGTCAAACATTACATTGCATTTTAATAGAACAGCTTTCACAGGAATACCATGGAGTAGATTTTTCTCTTTTGAAGTAGTAGTCGTTTATAGAGTTTTGTTTTCGTTTCGTCTCTGCTTGTTTCTAAGATACCTTGTTTGTGTGCGTTCCTTGGCATTGCTTGGAGTGGGCGCTAATATGTTTGTGGATCGACGGCAACCCTAGAGAGATTAAAGATAGACTTTTTGGAACCTATTACATTCGGTTTACAGGTTCTCGCTACCATGGATGGTGATGGGGGACTTTAATGATCTTAGAGCGGCATCAGCAAGAAAAGTGGTAGCCTCCACCCCTTATTCTATTATTGTGGCTTTTAACTAGGCCCTTAGTGATTCTGATTTATTTGATTTGGGCATGCATGACTATTCTTTTACATGGGAATACGGAAGGACGCAAAACTGCGTGGAGGAACGACTTGATAAGGTTGTGGTGTCTAGTGTGTGGAAGGACTTTTTTTCCCGCATGCATGTGTGTGTGATAAATACTGTCATCTGGCTCGAACCATACGACTCTGAAACTTCTTCCTAGCTAGACCTACTAAGGCTCGTTGTATCTTTCACTTCCTTTTTCAAATTGTGTGGTTATGTGGCAAGGCTTCGAGGCAATTCTTTAGGAGGCATGGAGGGGGTAAGCATGATCTTCCATCTTAGAAAGATTGGCGTTCCGTGGCCGGCGCTTTATGGAATGAAGAGGTGATACATTTCACAATTTTGGAAAGCGGGGCTAAGAGTTGCAGGATATCTTGCAGTGGCTCCGTGGGTGTAAGGATGAGGTCGATGTTAGTGCTTTTACAATTAGGAAAGCACACTTGAATATGTTGATGGATCTGGATGATATATATTTCAGGCAACGACAAAGCAACATTGATTTTGGTCGACTGATGCTAATATCCAGTTTTTCCGCTCATGTTCATGGCTTGAAGGATGTGTTCACGAATTTGTGTTAATGAATCTTTGAAGATCATTTTACTCAAAAAAATTTTCAAAGATTTTATGTTTCAGAGGGAGAGCCTAAACTTTTTGGGGTAACTGATAAATAATATTGAAGAAAGAATGTATGTACAAATACAACGGGCATACCCGTGAGCAAGGGCAGGGCTGAAGCCACCCGAACATCAAGCAAAGCAAGCTAAAGCAGTGGCGGGTAGGCCAAACCAAACAAAACAAGGCACGTTGAGCAAACTAAAGGTCAATACAAGCATAAGGCCAAAGACGTCCAATGATAGTGTAAACTATAACTTTAATTTTACAAAAATGGACATAATATCAGGAGGTTTATGATAAAAACAAATCTCATTCTGCGCTTTCCAAATCATAAAAATGGTAGAAGCAAAGGCAAGCTTCCTGATCTTCTTCTTCATTGCATCTTCCCTCCTGTATGTGCGCATCCAACGAAGAGCCCTGTCCAAGGTAGTGCGCTGCCCTTCAACCTTTATCCAAGAACGGGTGTAACCCCAAATATGTCTAGTCACCAAGCACTCAAAGAACAAATGGCCAGTAGTCTCTAGTTCGACACCTCAAAGGAAACATACTCTTGAAAAATCATTACCAAGAAATCCAAAATTAACCTTTGTAGGGAGTCTTTTATGGAAAGCTAGCCATAAGGTGAAGGAACACTTTGGTGGAATGAAAGATTGCCAGATGAAAGTCATCCAAGGCTACGGGTTTGCATGAACCCCAAACAAATCGTAGACTTTCTCCGAGAGGAGCTTACCATTCACGTAGTAGGGTTGAATGGCAACTTCAAGAGAGGGGGGAGGGGAGGATCACCAAGCTTAAAGACGAGCAAAGTTCTGATTTATTTCAATCTTTTGAATAAACAAGAATCCTTTTCTTAGGGATCTGAGTCTAGGTACACTTGCCCTTAAGATAGACATTATGAACCCATAATGAGTCCTTTTTGGCCGCTATGTTCCACAAAACCTTACATAGCAAGGCATTGTTCCACATAATAGGGTCTTTCAGTCCCAAGCCCCCTACATTTTTTGGCTTACAAATGTCCACCCAAGCAACTTTGGCGAACTTACTACCCCACAGGAAGTCACGGGATAGGCAAGTGGTACGGTTGAGGAATGATTAATTTAAGGCTTAGTAGAGAGCAAAAGTTGGCTCTTCTTCAACCTTTTTGTGACATGGAGAATTTAGACTCCCTTTTTCTCTATACACCCAAAAATGGCTCTTCTTTGGCATCGTTGAGTAATTGTAGGGTCAAATCATTGCTCTTCTCGATGAGGCTAAGAAGAACGAACTTGCTGTCACTGACCAACAAATATGGTACTCGCTAGTCAAGGGCCATAATACGAAGAACCGTGTGCTAGGAGTCAGTGGCTACGAGCGTAAGATTGAAAGGCTAAAGCGCCTTCCACACATCCCCGCTCTAGAAGCAGCCAGTCCACGATCGACACCCTAAAAGAGCACAACAAATGCCTCCAGGAACAGGTTGACACCCAAACCTCCATATTTTTGACGATTCAAGACTTGCAGAGGTTATATGGTAGTCACCACCCTCCTCCACGAGACAATGAAGGGACATGAGAAGCAGGGTAATTGAGCGCCATTAGTTAGGGTGCTTGAATCAGAACAAAAACCTTGCATATTGATGTTAACTATGCATTTATTATGCTACATTTAAATATTTGCCTTGTTTTACATTAAATTGAGGTTTTTTGGGATGATCTTTAAATAGTTGTTCGTATTTCTTGTATGGTAAAGCCCACTCCCATTTGAAAGTTATGTTTAGAGAAAACTAGAAAAATCAAGTGAAATTCGAAAAAATTAGATATACAAGTATTGAATAGCAGTACATCTGCGAGGGACAAGCTATTTGTCGCAGAATAATAAAACATGATTGCAACAACTTTCATGGCAGACTTCTGTCGCAGGTTAGCAACGGACTTGAAGTCCCGTCGCAAAAATGGTGTCTACTTATATTTGTTGTTGTTCCATCGCAGATCTATGATAGACCGTCATTTCCGATGCAGATTTGAGATTATCGACAACTTATTTTCCACAGACAAGTTTTGTTGCAAATTCGCAATCCACTAAGGGATTCTTGCTTCTGCAACTAGGGGTGGGGTCGAGACGGTTCGAGTTTTATATTGTCCCGCGTTTTGTCCTGTTTTTTTAAACGGTTTGGGTTACAAGCTTATCCCTTTTTGTCCCTTAATATTTGGGTTCAAGATAAAATGGAATGGGTTCGAGGTGTCCTACTTTGTCATTATCCAGAATTAGATATAAAAATATAAAATACATAAGAGAGATGCAGCCTACTTTGACTTGCAAAGTAATGGAAAAAATGGTATATTTATTTAGAATGTTTTTAAAAAGCCAAAACAATAAGGAAACATGAACACATATTACGAACATACGTCAAAAGTCAAGACTATAAGTTTCATAAATTGCCAGTTTGCCTTTTTTCTCCGTCCCAAAATAAGTTGCATGTTAGTTGTTTTCGTAAACTTTTAAGAGTAAAATACCTAAACTACCTCTAAAATAAGTCACTCTTCTCCACCTTATCTTCTCATATATCGTCATCCCTTCTAAAAAGTACTGACAATTTCGGAAAATTAATTCTATTTTTTATTTTCCTTAAATATGCCTAAAAGTCAAAACGGACGATTTAAAACGGGACGGAGGGAGTAATGTTTTTTTGAGTTATATACATATAATAAATAAATAAATACATACATATATATGGGACAACGAGACGGAACGGGAAAATGTTTATGTGTCCTGGTCCTATCCCATATTAAAACGGTTTGGAACGGGTTCGAAACAAAATTTTGTCATCCCTTTAAAACGGAACATTATAGAGATGAGACCAGGATATTTGGGGTCGAGAAAACGGTTTCGGGATTCTTGCCCGCCCCTATCTGGGACGGAAAATATCCGTTATAGATGCTAGAGATTCTTATAGTGAACCCTTTTATTTTGTGTGCGGAATGGTTCTTTTCTGGAAGGCCTGAATAGTGCCAGGAGATAGTGCATGATCTTAAGTCAATTGCTCTTTGCAACATGACTTACAAGTTACAAGATTTTGGCGAAGATGATGGCTAACTACATGAAGCCCTTACTTCTGGGGGGTTGCCAATGAATTTCAATCCACTTTCCTTTTGGGTGGACTTATTTTCGATTGCATCTCAAAACCAATTGACAATGATAGGAGTAACCTACAGTATAAAATTTCACTTTCCATATTAGGCCAACTTTTTTGTGGCTTACATAATTTCTCTCCTCTGCACTCCTTTCAATCACATGATTTGATTTTTCTTAATCTTCGTGTCAGGTCAATTGTGGAACATTAATACGGGACAAAGGGAGTAGCTTTTTCTTAGGGGACGAAGCATCAGATTAGTTTTTCTTAGCCTTAAGTGTTTGATGTGGGACTTTATGTCCTCGACAAACACTACAACAACAACATTATCCCAATGCCTCAAAAGCTCTTGTCCGGTGGGATATACAACCTGACCCTTATGTTTAAAACATAGAGCGGTTGTTTTGGGATTACCCATGATGAATGTGGAAAGTTGCAATACTTCACTATTGAAGCAAGCACAAACAATTTAAAGCGCCATTTTGCTCTATCCCATCATGCCCCAAAGCAAAAAAAATAGTGAATTTTTGGTTTCATGCTATAAGAATAATTTGGTTTTTAATATTACAACTCAATTGATAATTTTGTCACATAAAAGTTCAAGAAGTTACTGTAAAATACATAGATGGTGAATGATGAAGAACAAAACTTTAGTTGTGTTCATTGTTCAAGTTAGAAAAAATGGATTATCATTATGATATAACCACAACACTTACCAACATTATATAAAAGGAGGGGAGTAATGGGCATCCAATATTGTTGCACTCCAGTGTCAAGTCACCAGTAATCTCCACAAGAGCAATGACCATTTTTGAAGTGATGAAACCTACTGGAATCACGAAGAACAATTTCTCGCCCTTTGATCTTGGAAATGTACTTAATAGCCACGTGGCAATCGTTGCAGACTCGCAAGTTTTTCATCACCCTTATCTGGGAACCCTCAGGGGTGTTCATCAGAGCAAAAGCTATTGCCAACCTCTCACTGTGATGCAACAAGGTGTACTCTTTCTCCTCCATGTCCATGTCATGCATGACTGATCCTGTGTCTGGCACATACCCACTTAGCTTCAACTCTGCAGTTAACTCCTCCAGATAACTCTCAATCTCCTCACAATGTGGATGAGATCTACTGCCCATAACAAATTGGTGAATTTGGTTCTTTAATTCCATCCAGCTTACCCCTGGCTCTTTCTTTACCCCTCTCTCTTTCATTGCTCTCCACACTTCTGAAACCTCCTTCCACCTTTTAGTAGAGGCTTGGGTATGAGAAAGAAGCACGTACGAAGCCGAATCTTGAGGATCAATCTTCAGAACTTCTGCGGCTATCTTTTCAGCCATGTCTGCGTTCTTGTGGGTTTTACAGGCTGATAGAAGGGTCTTCCATATAATAGCATCCGCCTTGAGAGGCATTGATTTTATGAAGGCTTCAGCCTCCTCCAAACGACCCGATCTTCCTAAAAGGTCAACCACACAGGTGTAATGTTCCAGTTGAGGCACTAACTTGTGCTTTTCCACCATTGAGTTGAAAATTTCAAGCCCTTTATCTTTCAGCCCACAGTGACTACAAGCATAGAGCACACTCAAGAAAGTGACGTTATTCGCTTCCAGTCCTATCTGCTCCATATGGTCGAATATTTCTATGGCTTCTGTTCCTTTGCCGTGAAACCCATAAGCAGCGATAATTGCACTCCATAAAACTGTATCTGCCTCTTTCCTCTCTTCAAACACCTTAATAGCATCCTCCAAACACCCACACTTCGAATACATACTGACCAGGGAGCTGACAATAGAAACTTCAGAGATGGCTCCGGTTTTTATCACCTCAGTGTGAATCTGTCTGCCCTGTCCCAGAACGGCCAACTTAGAGCATGAACTGATCACACTTACAAACGTAATCTTGTCAGGCCTCAACCCTGACAATTTCATCATATGATACTGATCCAAAGCCTCTTCAGAGCACTGGTTTTGTGCCTTCCCGGCAATAAGAGTATTGCAAGCAACCACATTCTGGAATGCCATCCCCTTAATTATTCTCTCCCCTTCTTCGAACTTCCCAGATTTCATGTACATGTGAGCAAGCGCGTTCGCAACAACCAAATCACCCTCAAGCCCTGCCCTCACAGCATAAGAATGAACTTGTTTGCCCTTGTTCAAATCTCTTAATCCAGCACAAGCTCTCAGAACACTCCCAAGGGTAAATGCATCAGGCGAGAAACCAAGCCCGTGCATTTCGAAGAACAAGTTCCACGCCTTTTCATTGAACTCGAACTGGGTATACCCATTAATAACAGCATTCCAAGTCGCCAAATTTCTTTCAGACATTTGGTCGAACAGTTTGGCGGCATTATTCAAATCGCCGTTCTGTATGTACCCACCCACCAAGATGTTAAAAGACAGGACATTTCGGTTGTGCATTCTATCAAACAAGAAACGAGCAACATCTAAACGACCCAGTTTTGAATACGCATTGAGGAGGTGATTGGTCACGAATCGCTCTCTGAAACACCCAGATGTGAGGATCAGGGAGTGGAGCTGTTTGGTCAATGGGAGAGACTGGATTCGGATGCATTCTTGAAGAAAGTGAGGGAAAAGCGTTCGGTTCAACCATAACTGAGCAGTGTCCAAAAAGGGATCGGAACATAGACTCTTGATTGTGTATTCTCTAGAGCTTGCCGTTGAGAATGCCCGGTAAGTAGACACTCCCGGAATCAGCAGCAGGTGTTTCATAGAGGGAATGCATCAGCAGTTAGGGCTGAGGCCGTCCCATGCGATTGGGTTGGCTATTTGGTGGAAATAGCTATGGTTCTTTTGATGAACACGAAGATGGGTGATGATGGAAGTGATAATTCCATTACGTTTGACGGAGGAGGAATGAAAAATCTTCCCATAGTTAATTTTTCTCATATTTTAAAGTGCAATATATTTTAAAAATTAGGGATACCTGCAAGTTCTTACCATAAAACTTAGGATACCCAGAAGTAATTTTTTGTTTTTTTGGCTATGAATTTTAGAGTTTGATGTTAGAAAAAACATGAAAAAGTTGAACAAAATTGGAAAGAGTTAAAACTAGAAGGCGTTAGAAAATATTGAAAGAATTAAAGTATTAAAAAGTCACACAGTTAAATTAAATAAACATGTAACAAAACTCTAATTGGGGGGGGGGGGGGGAATTCATCCTTGTTCTTGTTTGAGGTAGTAGGTTATAAATTTAGTTATATAATGTTATTGTATATATTCATCATATATACAACATCCGTCTCAGTGTAATAGTCCAGTTTGACTTTATTGAGTTAAACTGGACAAACTGTGAACTCCAATTACTCTTAATTTATATTGCATATTAGCATAATGAAATACAATTTTGAAAATTCTCAATGCCATAAATCCAATAAAGTCATTTTTATGTTAAAATACATTACAGTTTTTATTTAACTGAAGCTCAAAGTTTGTCCAGTTTGACTCGAAAAAGTCAAACTGGACAAATACAATGGGACGGAGGAGTAAATATTTTTTAGCTCATTTTTGGAAGAAACTGAAAGAAGTGGAAAGAAAATGGAAAAGAATTAGAAGAAACTAGAAAAAATTAGAAAATGTTATAAGATAAATTTTCAACCCAAAAGAACAGTGCCCAAATTCATTAGAGATATACCTAAACAACCATTGTTTTTGTGTTACACGTACAATTGGTGTTTGTGTGTCTGCAACACGTACACTTGGTTTGCAAGTGATGTACAACAATCTTTTTCATACTCATTTTCATTAGAAGCACTTTGGTTATTTTTGACATTGAACATCTCAATCTCAAAATAATTAACTAGGAGCATCTACGATACTACGTTGTTGAAATTAATTGTTCTTGCATTCCCTATCCCCAAAACCCTCCACCCTTGCTCCCTACACTCACACCCCACGGGGCGATAGCCATCATGATGGGATAGAACTGTCACTGTCATGGAGATGAGGCTACCGTTGTTAGTAGATCTCTATTCCACTCCCTTTTCATATTAAATCCCTTTTTCTCTTTTGTCATGTGCGTGTACGTGTTAAATTGAGGGTTAAGAATATAATTTTACAATGATTATATATTTTTCGCGTCATACTCGATGTAAGAGGTCATTTCTGATGTGTCGTTTGTCAACTGAAGTCGTGGTCTATTTACTACAATCATAGTCTACAAAAATCATCTTTAGTCAGAATCCTAGTTCATAACCATAGCAATTGTTGTTGTGTTATCCCACTTATCTGTCAAGCAAACATTAGATTACATCTTATGACATGGGGTCAATGTGTAATTATATTTTTGGCTTTCAAATTAACATGATATAATGTCAAGAAAAGACTAGATACAGAAAGATATCATAAAAGAAAGATTACAAACGGTAATATTTGATAATAGAATACTAAAGAGTAAAAGTCTTACTATGTCCCAATATTTTTTTAATGTGCTCATAAGATCACTAATTTACTTTAATTTCTTGTTAAGTCCCTATACTTTCTAACTGGTTCATAGTATTTCCGGTGACTCTTCCGGCCAAAACTCTCGCATACTAACTATTTTTTAAAAAACAAATTATTCACTTTTTATTCTTAACTTACTAGATCCCTATATCAAAAGTTCTCCCTAGATCCCTATACTTTTTATTGGTGCATTTGTATGTAGTCCTTCCTACTGTTTTTCTGTTCAAATCTCTGGCATAACATATATTTTTAAAGCACGATATTTTATCCCTTTCTACTTTTTTCTTCTTTTTAAAAATAGAAAATACACTTAGTTTGACTCAAGATGTGCTTCTCATCATAACTGATGTTAAAGACTACTTCGTATAAAAGACACGGGTATAAGTCTTACTAGGTCCCTACATTTTTCAATTTTTTTTAAAAAAAGGATAGTGTTACAGAATTTTAGCTATAAAAATTGAGGGACTGTCTGTGCAAAAGTTAGAAAGTCAAGGACTTGACAAACATTTAAAATAATCTAGAGATCTGAAGAGCACTTTGAAAAAAGTATGAGGACCTAGCTAGACTTTTACCCAAAACTAAATATAAAATTTTTTTGTTATAAAAGGTTATTTATAAAATTTAATCTGAACATTCCCCTAAAAGTAGAGAGGGGAGGATATGAGTACCTTCTTCTCACCATTTTGGGAACAATATCCACCTCAAGTTCTCATATTTTCATTGCCAATTTGTTAACAACCACCAATTAAGATCCATCAATATTCATAAATTATACTACCTCCTTCTCAAAGTATTTGTTCAGTTTTGATATTTTTTTCATTAACAATTTTTAAGTTTTGACCTATAATTAAATAAAATATATATTATATTAAAAATATTTCTCATAATAAATCTAATGAAATTATTTTTGTATTTATATGTAAATCATTTTTATTTAATTTGGGGTCAAAATTTACGAATTTTGGTATAAAAAAAATCAAAAGTGAACAAATATTTAAGACAAAAGAAATTAATTTGGAAAAAATGATACCGAGTACAAAACATACGGAGTACATAATATAATACCCCCTCCGCCCCATAAAATTTCTCTGCTTTTGATTTCTAAAGAACCCAAAGAGAGTGTATTTTGGTATTGAGTTTTCAAAAAAACCCTAAGGTGTGATGGATAGATTGATACTGAAAAAGTGTGATATGATAAATAAGTTAAAAATTAATAAGGATAAAAATGTCTTTTTAATAGAAATAAGATTTTTTTTGGTATGGATGAAAAAGAAAGAAAAGTTGTATGACGGAGAAAGTAGATGTCATATACGATTATACGCGTATGTTCTTTTTTGAACGGAAAGAATATACTACTTCCATCCCAAATGGATAAGCCACTCTAAACAATGTGTTAAATTTCATTATTTTTAAAATCATTTTAGTAATAAATTGACATAGAAATTGTCGATTATTGTTTTCTGTGCCTGTATTTTTTGAGTCTTTTTTCACAAATTTTTTAATTTTGAAAATCGTACTTAAACATAATTAGTACTTTTATTTTTACTCAACATTCTAATCTTACATTATAATATATCTCCATCCCAACACAATTCTAATGCCTTAAATAGAACTTACTCCCTCCGTCCTGGAGTATTCGTCCAGTTTTGACTTTTGAAACTGTTCATCTAAGCACTTTGCCTCATCAAATTCTCTCAATATGTAAGCCTAAATATAGTCACGCGTGATCTTGTTTGATTTGTCTTAACATATAGATTATTAATATATAATTTCTATAAATTTTTAATATACAAACTACAAGATAAAATGGATTAAAGAAGTGTATTGGATGATGTGTAAAAATGAAAGTGGACAAATACTCTGGGACGGAGGTAGTATATCTTTATTTACATTACATTTCTTATTTTAATATTCTTTTCAGAATGTAATATAATGAAATTTTGATATTGAAAATGTATTTTGATGAAGGACAAATTAAATCTTAGGAATGAGATTTACGTTTCAGATAATTAGAAATGCAAAACTAGCTAGGATTTAAGTATGAAAAACAATTAAGTTGTGACATATGATACTGATACAAAAAATGAATAATTCCAAAAGTTAATTTGTGAATAGCTATATTATATGTACGGCATATATTTAATAAACTAGTAATCTTAAGATCTAATTTTTACATAAGAAATATTTATAATCTTTATTCACTCTTTTAAAATAATTGATCTTTTAAAATAATTATACTCCATTCGTCCCACAACTTTCTTTCTACTTAAACATTTATGGTAAAGATTTTTATATGTTTTGAGCTCAAATCACTGAAAAAATATATTGAGTTACTATAAACTTAATATGGATATATTTATTTTGGATATTATTATTCTTTATTATATATATGTATATATAAATAGAAATAGTAACAACGAAAATATATATTTCATTTCACACCATAAAAGAAATACTACAATCATTTGAATTTTATGGTGTGAAACGAAATATTTTCGTTGTTACTATTTAGAAAGATATTATCCCAAAGATCTGTTTAATAAGATTTGTTAAAAATGTAAAAATAAATGCATTAATAATATTAATGCTGTATTTATTTCTTAATTGTATACATATAATTAGGCCGGGGAATAGTGGCTAGTATACACATATTACAGATTAAATCTGCGTAAATAAATATATCGTGCATGAAATGAAAATGGGAACCTTCACAAATACGAGGAAGAAGTAGCTGCGGCCGTCAACGGCAGCGACGTTTAGAGTCAAGGCAACGGTGGCGGCGGTGATGATGAGTTCTTATTATTATTGGAACTCTGCTTTTTAACGTATTTGCGCGCCCAAACGTGCTTCCCGTTGATGTTGTACTTGGCTTTGCCGCCGACCACGATGGCTTCCAGCGCCGGAAGGGAACGCGCCACCAACTTCGCGTACAGTACTTGTTCCCCTGCTGGTACCTCTTGCATTTGTATAGACTCTATGCTATCTCCAAATTTCCTGCAAAAAAAAATTGAATTTCCATAAAATTTGAATTATTATTAATGGGTTTAATATAGTATGCTCATTTACTACAATGAAACATTAATGACCAATGTGATGAATCATTTACTTCATTCCTAATTTGTATTTGAAAAGAAAAAGAGAGACCATGAGATACAATGTACTTACTTTGAGAAAAAGTCAGCGACTTCTTCTTGAGAAATAGGGTAGCCCTTAGAGAAGGTCAAGAAGATGGTCCTTTCATCTGGATGAACCACTCCATTACCCTTCTTCTCGACTTCCTTCTTTGCCACCATTTCTGTGTTACGGTCAAACATGCAAGTTGACCTCGTCTGCTCAGAATGACTGATGAGATCAACATTGCTTGTTTGAGACGAAAAGTGGAGGAGCAAGATGTCATCGAAAGCCCTGAAACAGACGTCGCTGACGTACTTGTTCACCCCGCGGAGGACGTGGGCCCGGTTGAGGAGGAGGTACAGGGGGCTGGCGAGGCAGTTCAGTCGTCGGGCAAAGTTGGGGGCGGCGAAGAGCGGGAAGTGGTCCTCCTCTATGCACTTCAAACACATCACCGCCTCATCCGCGGCGGCGTTCACCATCTCCGGCGACATACCCAACACCTCGTCGACCAAATTGCAGGCCCCTCCGCCACCGCCGCCGCCGTTCCATCGGGCGTGTTCCTCGAGCCACAGCAAGAAGCCCATGAGTTGCATGGACTCGGCCGGGTCACGACCCAGTCCGATCACGAGCCGCGAGAAGAGCTTTCGGTCAATGCCGTGAAACACCTTGAAATCCTCTTCCGACATTTGGGGGCTGGGAAAAGGGTACAGCGGTGGAACGTCGGAGAAATCCATGTTTGGGCGGTGGCCGGCGGGAGATGTTTGGGTGAATAGTTATAGATACACGTGTGTGTGTATATATATAGGCGGGGCACGGGGAGAAGGGATGTGGGAAGTGGTGGCTATTGGTGAAGAAGGAAGGAATGTTTGTAAAGGGGCGCCAATAATAATTAATTAATCCTAATTAAATCATGGGCATGGTGACTTTTCCAATTTAAGTGTTTTCATTATTATATTGAATTTGAAAGCACAACGGTTTTATATAAGTTCGGGTCGGAACTCCTCAGTGTGCTTGCCATCTCAATTATTCTGCTTCAGTGCGTCTTATGGGGAGATGGCGGGAACCATTGTTAAATTTTTAAAAGGGAAAGTGAGAAAATTTTTAAAAGGGAAAGTGAGAGGGGAAATGTGCGTGTCAAATGATATCACCCAACATAGAATTCGGAAGAGTAAATTCTATAAGAAATATTTGCATTAAATAGCACTAAAACTTAAGTCATTTCTCTAAATAGCACTTAAATTATTTTATTCTCTAAATAGCACTTAATAATGTCCATAATGTCTAGTGATGACAAATATTTACTTGAATAATGACTAATGCATAATGACTAAAAGTGCTACATTGGGAAGAAAAACACATGTGGTGCTATTTAGAGAAAGTCATTATGTTTTAGTGCTATTTAATTCTATAATTGGTCCTTTATAACAGAGGGTTTCCCTAGTTAGTCCTCTATTATCAAATATTATCCAAGTGGTCCTTCTTTTATGAGTATCTTTCCACAAATAGTCCTTTTTTTGATCTTCTATCATGTTGGTGTTAAATTGAGAGCTAAAAGTGTAATTTCACAATGATAATATATTTTTTTTGTCATACAAAATTTCAAAGGCTGTTCCGTTTGCGTCGTTTGTGAATTACAGTCGCTTTCTACTACAACCATAGTCTACAAATGTGGTCTTTCGTCAGAACCCTAGCCCACAATCATAGTCATTATTTTTGTGTTATCCGCTTAACCAATATCAGAACACGTCACTAAGCATAATGTTGATGTCAAATTATACTTTTAGCCTTTAAATTAACACCAACACGACAGAAGATAAAAAAAAGGACCATTTGTGGAAAGGCACCCTTAAAAAAAGAACTACGGTGGTAATATTTGATAATAAAGGACTAAATATGGAAACCCCCCTATTATAAAGGACTAATTATGGAATTTACTCAATTCGGAATTAGGGGCAAGGAAAAACCGTCAAAAAATGATCTGACCTATTTTTAATTCAAAACTCAACCTGAAAATACTAGATTGTGAATATAGGTTTTGATAGTCGAACCCGAAATGACCTGCTAAAAATGGATCAAACCCAACCGAAACTGAACCCGACCTAATCGGCTCGTTAAAATAAGAGTTTTTCAAAATCATACACTTTACTACTCGTTTTTAATCTATACATTTATATTTTCAGATAAAATTTTAATGATATTGCATAATAATTTTACTTTTTTCTGAAACCTAAGCATTTTTAAAATAGAATAATCTAAAAAAACCAAAGTCATAATCCGTTGGGTTGACCCGAACCCGATGATACTGGGTCATTAACATAAAGTTCTCAACCCGAACCCGAATTGATCTGAACCCGAAATAACCCGAACCCGAATCCGTCCTGACCGACCGATTTGCGAGCTCTACTTACTATGTGTCTAATTTGACTTTTTTTTCAATCAAAGTTTATAAAATTTGGTCTTAAATTAAATAATAGTGATATTAAATACGAATAAAATTCAAAAATAATTTTATAAGATTTATTATACAAATATTATTTTTTATCTCATTAATTTACAATATATACTCCCTCCGTTCTCAAAAAGGGTTCCTACTTTGAAAAAGTGGAAAAATAAGGAAGTGTTAAATTGTAGTTGACTTCCAATTTTGTCCTTGATGTGATGGGTAGATTATTAGAGAAAAAATATGATGTGATAGGTAGGGTATGAAAAAAGTAAGGGTAAAAGTGGTTTTTTAATAGAAAGTGGAAGTGTTTTGTTGGAAGTAAAAAAGATGAAAGAGGAAGTGTTTTTGAGAATGGAGGGAGTATTTATTTAGTTATTTGTTAAAGATTAAAAATAATTGATTGCATAGAACAAAACTAGACAAATACTCAAGGAAGATACTAATGTAGTATCGCAATTTGAGTTGCTAATTTACTATTTACAAAGTCAAACTGTAACGGCGTCGCGTCCTTGACCTATTTCCGCGACTCATTTGAGAAAAATATATAGTCTTATCACCTCTTGTTTTAGAATTTTTAAAATAGATTTTAAATTTATAAAAAAAGGATGAGCCCTATCTCCGAGGACCCTCTCAGACCCGATCGGACGGTCACGGAGAGGATGTAAATTGGACTTTAATCGCAGATTGGTGGCAATGAATGGAGCTTGCATCTGGTACTTGCAAAGGCACTATGTTTAGCATAGTTACCACCCAACACAGTTTCCAAGAATCGAACTCGGGTCTTACCCCCTTGGCACCCCTTGTCTTGCCAATTGCGCAACGCCCACCGGCAGATTTTAAATTTATAAATTTTATTTGTTGATTCCTTGCCAATTATTACATAATTTAAATTAAAATAACTTTATTCAAAATTCATAAATAAAACAACTTTATTTTGGAACGGAGGAAATACTACATAATATTTTCCATAATCCAACTGGGATGCCTAGTGGCACATGCAATAAAGTGGTTTTTTGGGGATGAGCAATAGAATGAGATCATATCTTCATCTTTATCTATATAAAATGAGAGATGCTACTTCTGCCCAAGATGTACCACAACTTATACTACAATAATTTACATTTATACTTTGATAGTTACATTAACACAAAATATCCGTGTAAATTTCGTGATATATTTTGTGTCACAGTTAACCATAAAACTATAAGAGTAATTTTTTGGGGTACAAGTTGTGATTTCATTTTTGGGGTATACCATACCTAGCATGGTTGATATAAAATAAAAACAGATTAGTGAAAAAGCACAATCACATAAAAACATCCAATCAATGTATGGTAATCCGGATGTCTAGTTGGGTTTGGACTTCTATAACTGGGCTTGGGAGTACATTGCCCATGTATCAACTTTTCATATTTAGATGTGGGACTGCTAGCATACAAGAGACATTAAACCATGGTGTCTAGGGGTGAACATTATATAGTATTCTGTATCAATACCGTACACATTAAATATTTCAGGTTTGGTTCGGTACTTGCTCACCCCTAATAACACCACTTGATATGTTTGATTTGGAAATCTTTGTGATCCCTATAAAATTTGAGAAAAATTAAATTGAGTTTAGTATTATCATCAAAAGTACACACATACAAATACATTGTGAAACTCCAGCTGCTACTTTACTGAGGCCCAATAACATAATAGGCCGTTTACAATGTTTACTCATCAATAAGTTCCCTCAAGTTGGTACATAAAAATCGTGAATACCCAAGTTAGACAATAAAAAACATGGGCCTAGTGAAGACTTTACCGAATAGAATCATAGATCGTGCGCTAACTATATATAGACAAGCACAAACATATGCGGTTGTGATCTCCAAAAGTTGAAGACATTCATGAGCAATGTGACGATCAATATCACAAAACTTTATACATTCTTGAAAAGCAGAGTTAGCTACAATAAACAAATAGAATTTATTCTTAGAAAACAGACGGAGAAGAACGACGCAAGGAGTTTGTCTATACGTTCATTCTTAGCGGCCTTAGCCTTTAGCCTAGTTGTCCCAACTTGTCCGTATGTGATACATACCCAATGATCTGTGACACGTTTATCCCGATCATTTGTCTATCTGAAAGTCCATACACAATGATTCAGGGTCTTTTAGTTTATAATCAGTTGTAGAAAATTAGTGTGAGGGTCAAGTTAAAGTCTAATTAGTGGAGGACTATTCTCCCTCTAGCTATAAATGGTAATTAGCAGGAAATTCTCCTTTGGTAATAAGAATAAAAAGACATGTATTTCCAAAAAAATATAATATGAAATTCCCACTAATTAGAAAAAAATTTGTCAAATGTCTCTCGTTCAAAAGTACAAAATAATACGGAGTAATTAAAATAGCAACAGACATTTCCCACCACTAATATAAATTAGTAACAGTTGCATATATTTTCCCCACTAATATGAAAGAGTAAATTCTATAATTCGTCCTTTATAACAAGGGTGTTTCCCTATTTAGTCCTCTATTATCAAATATTACTCTAGTGGTCCTTCTTTTATGGGTACCTTTCCACAAATAGTCCTTTTTTGATCATGTTGGTGTTAATTTGAGGGCTAAAAGTGTAATTTCACAATGATAATATATCTTTTTTGTCATACACAATTCCAAAGGCTGTTTCATTAGCGTCGTTTATGAATTACAGTCGCTTTTTACGACAACTATAGTTACAAATGTGATCTTTCGTCAGAATCCTAGCCCACAATCATAGTCATTATTTTTGTGTTATCCGTTTAACCAATATCAGAACATGTTACTAGACATAATGCTGATGTCAAATTATACTTTTAGCCTTTAAATTAACACCAACACGGCAGAAGATCAAAAAAAGGACCATTTGTGGAAAAGTACCCTTTAAAAAAGGACTACGGGGTAATATTTGATAATGGAGGACTAAATATGGAAACCCTCCTGTTATAAAGGACTAATTATGGAATTTACTCAATATGAAATAACAAAAGCGGGGGAATAGCAATCCAAGGATCCCGCTAATATCATAGTATAAAAAAGGAAAGAATTTAGAGCTTGTTCTTTTCAACTTATCTAATAGATTCTGATTTAATTGAAATAAATTCTGCTCTGCTTTTTACTACATTTAAAATTATTTTTAATATCATAGAATTCCAATAAAAAATATTTTTTAGTACAAGTGTACATCCAACCCCTTTTTATAAATGATGAGCCCCATACTCGAGGGCCCTCTCAAAACCGGCCGGACAGTCACTGAGAGAAGATAAATTAGAATTTAATCGGAGATTGGTGGCAAAGAGTGGAGCCTACACCCGGTACGTGCAGAGGCCCTATGCTTAGCATAATTGACTCCCAGCGTAGTTACTAGGAATCGAACTCGGGTCTTACTCCCTTGGCACCCCTTGCCTTACGAAGCGCGCAAAGCCCACCTGCTCCAACCCCTTTTTATTAGCATATATTTCGGTATTACTCCCTTCGTCTCCAATTTGATTACAAATTGGGATTTACGAGGAGAAATATCACACTTTTTGAAATCATTTTATTTACAAATTGGTATATCAATAAGAAATAAAAATTACATATTAAAAAACTACGTCAAAAATTCTACAAAACAAGAGGTGACATGTAAAGAATATTTTATTTTATCAAATACTTAATGAAATCACGTAAATAAATAAAAGTTATCGAGAGGAGAGAGAGAAGAAAAAATGTAAAGGAATGCTAAGGGTACATCATTTGATTTGGTGTACCCCATTTGTACACCATTGATCCTAGCCATTGATTTCCTTTTTTATTTTTAATTTTTTTCCCTCTCTTGTATTTGTGTAGTGAAGATGGAAGCGGTACAAATGGAGTACACGAATTGGTAGCCCTCGCATTTTTGAAAAGGATTGTAATCTAATTCTCGAGAAGGAGGGAGTATTTTTTTTTGTAGAAAACTGCTCTTGAATACCCCATATTTTTAGAAACTAACTGTCGGGTACCTCACATTTTCAAAATATTCTCCGAGGTACCTTCTATTTTGAAAAACTAACTATCGGATACCTCACATTTTTAAAATATACTCCGAGATACCCTCTATTTTGTGAAATTAACTATCGGGTACCTCACATTTTTAAAATATACTCCAGGATATCTCCAAATATACATTAATTTTACGCCATTAATTTTAAGAAATAGGGGTTTGGAATTTTAAAAGTAACCAAGATCTTTTTAATTTGAAGAGAATTGTACTCAATACTTTTAAAATTGAGTACTCAATTTTCTTCAAATTAAAAAGATCTCGGTTTTTTTAAAATTTCAAACCCGTATTTCTTAAAATTAATGGCGTAAAATTAATTATACTACGTATTTGGAGGTATCCTGGAGTATATTTTAAAAATGTGAGGTATCCGATAGTTAGTTTCTCAAGATAGAGGGTATTTCAGAGTATATTTTAAAAATGTGAGGTACTCGATAGTAAGTTTTTCAAAATAAAAGGTACTTCAGAGTATATTTTGAAAATATGAGGTACCCGGCAATTAATTACTCAAAATATGGGATACCCCAAGAGCTGTTGTTGATTTTTTGACCAGGCCACTGACCCTGCTTGTTGCAGCCTAATTCCTCGCCGTCGCCAGAGGTGTCCGCCACCGCCGGACTGCATCACAGCGGTCCTTCACCGTCCCAGGTCTGCCGCTACTTTCATCTCAATCCCAATCGTCATAGCCTTGCCACCACCGTGGGCACTTCTATCCCAGACGTTAAAACCTTGCCGCCGCCTTCCCGGGGCTGCCGCCGGTTCCTCCATCTCAATTTTATAGGTTTGATATTTCCACTCTTTCCAAGTCCTGGAATTTATACTTTTGAGAAATTTTATTTGGGTTACATAATGTGTTTCAGATTATTTTTACTGCTCAAATTATGTGTTAGGGCAGTTTCATTTATCTTATATTTGAGTTTCAAAGAAGTTTTTAGCAACTATGTTTTGTTAATTTTTTAAATCCACATGAGCTTGAATCGTTTTGAAATCAAGTACTCTGTCTGAGTTTGAATTGTGTATTTGTTGCTAAAACTAGACTCGTACCCGTGCATTGCACGGCCTAATTACAAACTATATAATTAGAAAAATCATTGATGAAAGAAAATGATAAAATTTAATAATAATAATAATAATAACATATAATCAAATAATAAAGAAATTATAAATACTATACATGTTCATCATGAAAGATCACTTGCATTGAATCTCTTCTTCTTGCCCAAGCTGGAACAAAGGAGACGCGAACAACTCGTAGCATAAGCATCCAAGTGGTTCAACAATTGTCAATCCAAGTACATTCTACATACTCTTTGAATATTTTGAGACATTTTTTTTGAAAGTGAGCCAAATTGGGATTAGAGGTATGAGATGTTTGGGGTATAAGCAGTATATATAATTGGACAATCAATCTACTCATTAAATATCTTACTCCCTCCGTCCCGTTTTAAATTGCTCGTTTTGACTTTTGGGCATATTTAAGGAAAATAAAAATTAGAGTTGATTTTTCGAAATTGTCAGTACTTTTTTGGAGGGATCAAGATGAATGAGAAGATAATGTGGAGCAGAGTGACTTATTTTAGAGGTAGTTTGGTATTTTACTCTTAAAAGTTTACGAAAATAACTAACAGGCAACTTATTCTGGAACGGAGAAAAAAGGCAAACAGGCAATTTAGAATGGGACGGAGGTAGTAATTTAGTGAATCTATTCATATAATGTGATTTGACATAAAGTATGCATCAAGTCATGCACCAATTTTATTACGCACGCGATTTCAGAGCAATACAATACCCATTTATTTATTTTGAGTTGACATAAAATTTGCATCGAGTCACGCACCAACTTTACTACGCACGCGGTTCCATAACAATACACTACCCATTTATTTATTTTGATTTGACATAAATTTTGCATCGAGTAACGCACCAAATTTACACGCACGCAGTTCCATAACAGTACACTACCCATTTATTTATTTTGATTTGACAAGAAGTTTACATCGAGTCACGCGTCAACATTACTATGCACGCGGTTCCATAGCGATACAATACCCATTCATTTATTTTGATTTGACATAAAGTTTGCATCGAGACACACATCAAAATTACTACCCACGCGGTTCCATATGAATACACTACCTATTTATTTATCTTGATTTGACATAATGTTTACATCGAGCCACACACCAACATAACAACGCACGCAGTTCCATATCAATACACTACCCATTTATTTATTTCGATTTGACATAAAATTTGGAAAATAAAATTATTAATCCTTCCATTAAATGCTTGGAAATAGAAAAAGTATAGATTAAAGGGATTTGACATAAAGCACATTGAGCAATAAGATATATTTGACATTATTTTTACTTTATGGAGAAATACACCCATAGTTTGACCTGAAGATGTTCAAGCTAACAACCGCGTCAGTCGGCACACTTGGCTCGGTCCATACCCAAACTCACTACCCGTCAGTCTGTCCACTTGGCTTGGTCTATACCCAAACTCACTACCCATTGATTTTGGCGAGAATACTATTCCCAAAACCATCCTAGCATTGTATATAGTAGGATAGGGTCTCAACATTCTTTTATCACGTATTTGAAGTGCAACAACCTAACCTAAAATAGGCTTTCAAAATAGGCTCTCAATAACCTAACCTAAAGATAGTGAAGTGCAAGATACAAATAACCAACATAGATGAAGTGTAAGTAATGAAGAAAGCACCCAAACGTCTTACTACTCATACTGTATTTGTTAAAATAAAAATGCCCAAGTCATAGTGGTACATGTAACTCTGATAGTAACCAACCAAAGGTAATTTGCTCGCCATGGGGCTTTCTTCTTTCGTGTTACCTTTGGTGCACATTTGCTTCACGCCTCTTTGACCACTTGTGGCTTTCTTCTTTCTTGGTTTCTGCACTAACCCACCTCTTACCTTCCCTGGGTATACCTTGAAGTGTTTATCTCATGTGCAATGAATTGGTTTTCCATTGTTAGCACGACAAGACTTTGCCTTTCATTTCCATAAATTACTGATATTTAAACCACCAATATGAACAGGCCATCTAAAATGTAGGTTGCTGAGGGAAAACAACATTGTATTGTCCTCTAGACTGAGTAAGGCCTTTTAACAGCTAAATGTTTCTTGTCAAAAAGGCTGTGTTTTTTCATAATGGAATAGCACCTTTTGAGCTTCCCCAAATATTTTGAATGCATCTGTCGCACCGAGGAACTTTGTTTACTTGACCAATTCATCAACCCTTATTAAGCCAATGCATGACCAATGAAATCCGCTTTGAGTTTCCAAATGATCTCTGCAAGCAGAGTTGGCAAAAGAACAACTAATGTGCCAAGTTCATTCTTTGTTGGAAGCTAAATGTTTAACAGATAGTGCTAAACTATAGAATATAATCTTCAAAGGTAAAAGCTAAACAGATATATAACTTCTTCTATAATGAAAATGTACCATAATAAAACCCTTATGTATCATGATTTATATTTAAAAAAAATAGTGCTAAAATATTGAATAATAAATTTTTAAAGAGTGTGCAATAAAAAAGACATATACTTGGTGGCTAGTGGCTATGTATAGCTAACCGGTTCAAAAAGCTATTACCTTATCCAGTTACAATTATGCGCCAAAGGTAATATCTTGGATTGTAAAGCAAATTCTGCATAGTTTCATACCAAAGAAGCTTAACATTCTTAATACTCACAGAAAATAAGAGACCAAATATGTTAAAAAAGAATTAATATTTGAAAAGAAATTGTGATAAACTAAAAAAAAATATAAAAGTTTGGTGGACTGTCAGGTGTCAACTGTCAACCTCAACCCATCCACTCACACCATTAGCAACACTCATTCATTGTTCATAGCCAAATATGAATTGAGCAATCTCTCTTCCAGTCTATTCTTTGTTAGGATGGAGCAAATAACATAATCTGGAATTCAGCTTCAAACACATTCCCATCATTGGTTCAAACTAATCCATTAAGTAACACTAAGAAAAACATATAGAGCATATTAGAGTAAAAATGAAAAAAGAGACTCATCCTTTAAAAACATATATAAAGCATGTCCAAAATATTTTGGTTTAAAACAAAAATAATGTAGATATAGGTAGATATGTCTGCTAAAAAAATAGTCCTCCAAAGGATTCATACATCACTTTGCCCCTGTTTTAAATTGTAAATTTAATAATTACCATGAGGACCTTTTCAATAGAGTGTGCTTTTGTCTGCTCCAAAGCCATGAGAACATGCTGGTCTTTACCCTCTTCAAAGAAGTTTTTAGCAACTATGTTTTGTTAATTTTTTAAATCCACATGAGCTTGAATCGTTTTGAAATCAAGTACTCTGTCTGAGTTTGAATTGTGTATTTGTTGCTAAAATGTGTGTATAAATCGTTTTCTGTTATTTAATACTCCGTAATTATCATTTTTCTACTCTTTGACATGTTCTTGGCAGGGGAATGGAGATCTCATTAGTGTTTATGATGCTCTTGAATATGCGTTGTCGATTATACTTAGATGTAAGTAGCAACAAGTAAGAGTTACTTACTTTGAATTAGATTCGTAACCATTTTCTTTTCTGGTTTGGTTTCTTCCAAAAATATTTGTTTGCCGATCACAAAACAATGTCCATTCCAGTAAGGCGATAACATATCCCATTATCCCAAAAATAAGATTGGTCTTGTCTAGACTTAGTTTTAAATAGTTGATTATATTATTATATGTAGATTGGCTTTGATTAACTTGTAGATTGGTTATTTGATTAATTTTTCTCTCATTAGTCAAAATACGAATTGTTTTCTTGAACGGAGAGAGTATTTGAGAAAGTGTTGCTTGGATAATCTGAGTACTCTTAGGATGCTTGTTTTCATATTTGCTCTTATTATTAGCTTTCCAGATGTTCCAGGAAATAAGACTTGGGAGAATGATTTTAAGTTTACCCTTAAAAATTAAAACTCTTTCCTTCTACACCCATCCACCAATATAAAAGATGTTGTCTAACACCAGTTCCCTGTTTGATGTTTGGTCCATTTGAAAGGTCAGAAAAAAGGCCGGACTTTAGCACTTATCTAACAAAGAAGATTAGTGTGGACCAAAATGCACAACTTTTTTATGAATATAAGATTAAAGAGAATTGTTAAGAGTATCCCACATCGGAAAAGTGTGAGGAAAAGAATCGGTATATAAGTTCTTGAGTTGAACTAACTAATCGATTGGATTCAATCTTTTAATGTGATTCAACCCAAGTGTCTTATTACCCAATCCAGTTGTCCATACCCATCCTAAATTCTATCATGGTATAAGAGCATGTTTTGGCCCACCTCGTTTGTCAAGGTGTCCGTCTGGACGTTCATTCCTAACGGCCCATTTGTCTTTAGCCTAGGAGTATGTACCCAATGACCTGTGGCCTGTTTAACACGATTGCTCGTCTAGAAGTCCATACCCAGCGGCCCGTGGTCCTTTAGGTGTTGACGCTAAAAAAAACATAAAGGGGATGGGAGTCCATTTGCAAGTGGTCAACCGGTTAGATTCAAAATGGCCCGGTCGTCCACTTGAGGGGGAGTGTTAAGAGTATCCCAGATTCAAAAGGTGTGAGGAAAATAATCGGTATATAAGTTCTTGAGTTGAACTAACTAATCGATTGGATTCAATATTTTAATGTGATTCAACCCAAGTGTCTTATTACCCAATCCAGTTGTCCATACCTATCCTAAATTCTATCAAGAATCTTGATAATTAAATCTTTGTATATAATGGAACATGTTCTGGTAGATATCACATTTTAAGTTATGTACTTGATTCTTAGCATTGGTTTTGTTTGTACGTAACCTTTAAACTTTTGAAGAATCTATAGAGAAAAGTTTGTTAAGAACAACCAAACTTCTCTCAAGAAAAACATAAGATTTACTTGAAGGAAACCCTTATCATTTGAAAGCTCTAAGCGGACTCTAGGCTTGCTATATTCTCAAGATCATTTGGTTATAGATTTGAGATGAAAACTAGATGAAACACTCAAGAGGTTCGTGGATTATATGTAGAAAATATAAGCGAACTCTCATGCAAGTTTTAGCACAAGAATGGTGAAGAAATGAGATGTTTTGGAATGGTATTATTTACAGGTGAAACTCAAGTCTCGTAAACATGAGTGATTAAGACAACTTAACAATGCTATAAATAAATAAATTGAGTTGGAAAAGAACATAGTTTTTGTGCTAAATGATGAGCAAAGCAAAGGAATTGAACAAACACCATTACACACATTTTTGTAAAATAATTCAAAGTTTAGGATAATCATATCATCAAATGCTAATAATACACTCTCTCTATCTTATAACTATCTTCTCACTATTCATTTTGGTTAGTGCTAAAACTATCTTCATATTACTTAAAATGACAAATTTTAAGCTGTTAAATGACAATAATGCCCCCATCAATTTATCTAAATCCTTGCCGTAATCCCTTTTTCACGGTTTCTATTTTCTCCCATCCTCTCAAACAATCTTCCCTGTCTCAAAGTATTATCGCAGCTCAAGCAACCCTTCTGTGTTGTCGTCTCTGAGTATTACTAAGTTATTGTCTCCGTCTCCATGGATTACCAATTGAGCTCATGTTTTTTCTAGGAAGGCTCCTCTTTCTTAGATATATCTTAGAGGAGAAGAACCAATTCATCACCCAGCGAAAAGGCAAAGATTATACACAAAAATTTGAGATCTAAACTTGGGCCTTCATTCATTTCTGCGCCGGTAACTTGTTGCTGGAAATGAGATGCCAATCCGCAATAATTGCGTCGAAAAGAACAAATTATGTCGATTCACTCTCTCCTTTCATGTCCATGTGTTTTATTTGTGGAAAATCCATGTGCGAATTAATTTGTTGGATATGCTAGATTTTTGTATTTACACTCCCTTATTAATGAGTTCCAGTCAAACTAGAAAGTTAGTTTTGGGATGGAAAAAGTATGTGTTAATGAGCTAGAAAACACATCAAAAATAGCTAACAAGACATTAAACTGCACAAACTTTGCTAGACTATTTGACACTAAAAAAGCAAATTAGCCTAGTGATGCTCATGGGTTTCAAATCAAGGCCATGTATGAAAAAATGACTTCTCAACCAATATTTAGTTGTTTGAGTACATATCTGATTTGGTTAGTCAAACAAGCCAAAGTAAATATTTAGATAGTAGTTGACTTGGCTTTTAGGTCCAAAAGGTTGAAATTTGAAAAGCCATCGGGAGGAGCGTTTCCATTCGGCTATAGAGAGTAATTCCTTTTTTTGCCCTTTCGCTCGTCCTTGCACTCTGATACTTTTGCCTTTTCCCTTATTGTAGCAAATGGAATTTTCAATTAAAATCCCCTCATTTACGTGTCATGCTCCATCTATATGCACGAATTCTATGGTTATCGTTTGTACTCTGATCTCTCTCATCGTAATGTTGGGTTTGTTTTGTGTTCGATATCTTTATTTTTCAACATCCCACCACCATCGCTCCATCCCCACCGTCACTGTCTTCTCTACCATCGTCCCGTTGTCACCATTGCCATATGAGGGAGAGAGAAAAAAGATGAAAAAGGGAGGAACAAGAGGAGAGAAAAAAAGAAGATTACGATACAAACATAGATTTGATGCAAATCTGGTAGAGTTGGGAGACAAGAGAAAGAAGGGGGAGAAGAAGAGGAGGAGGAAGGAGGAGGAGCCGATTTGTGAGAAAGAGAAGAGGGGGGAGACTGGAGAGAAGAAGAAGATGAAGGGAAAAAAGAGAAGAGAGAAGAAAAAGAATGGAAGAAGAATTGGAGGAGGAGAAGAGAATAGAGGGGCAGATCTGGTCGAGAAAAGAGGGGAAGAAAGAAAAAGAGAGTAATTGGGTGGAGGTATTTTGAGTAGTTTGTGTGTTAACGGTTAAAAGGTAGATTGGGAAGATTATTTTCGGACGGGGAAAAAAAGTAGAATGGGAAGATTATTTCCGGACAGAGGGAGTACAAATATCTAATTATGAACAGCCAAACATTTTTTTCTTAACAGCTACTACAGTCAAAACAACAACTTAACCAGCCATTCAAGTTAACCAACCTTAATAGCCAACTGCCAACAGCTAATCTCTAAACAAGGCCTAAGTCATCGACTCTAACATCCTCCCTTGCATTCTAATTATGGGACTTCACTTTTTGTTGACATAGTTGGGTTTTAGCGTGTTTAATATAAATCTTATTGGGTTCGGGCCAATTTAACTACATAGCTGAAATTTCTACCATATTGTATCCAAGTTCAATTAACATGTTTAAAAAGCTTCATTCTCAAAATAAATTTAATCTCTTGGATTCCAAATTAATATTGAAATAATTATTTTTAATTACTTTATTATTATTAAAAAATTTCTTTTTTTACTTAGACTATTTTATTCCAAATATACTTTTATTTTTTCTAAAGTTCAAATTACTTGTTAATTTCCCAAATTAAATTATCTAAATTAATATCTACTAATTTTCTCTTTTAATTATATTTCCAAACATTAATTAATTCTTCTAGGTCTATATAGCAAACATTACACCAGCACTATTTAATAGTACAGAAAGAGAGAAGAATAGTCAAGACATAAAACAACTACATTTAGGAAGAATAGAGGAAATGGGCTATGAAAGAACTAATCTTTTTCTTGTTATGATTTAAGCTAGATATATATGGCTGTTTATAGGAAAAGAAATACCTTACTAGTCTTGCCGATTCAATAAAAGTGTCAAGGGAAAGAACCGTAAAGAAAACCCTTGAAGGAGCGTTATAATCTCACTCAACAATTAAATAAACAAATAAATTAAAGTAACAAATAAAACGAACAATCAGAATCTCTTTCAACCGATGTGGTGGTTTAGAGGTGCGACCCAGCTGCTGCCATGCCCTCGACTCCGTTGTTCCACTACCATGTGACGTAGGTTCCATATGATCGTGCAATGTATTTCCCTTGTCATTATGTAAACTATTTCGATGGATTAAAATCCATCAAAAATTTATCTCTATACATAAAACAACAATTTTCCATTAGTTAGGCAAAACCTATAGGAAGTGACTTTTATCTATAAAACAATTATTTGATACCACCAAATAGAAGGGTAGATCAGGAAAACTTCAAAATCCTTCAAGTGTGGAAATTAAATAACATGTGTCATTGAGCACAAATTATTGTTTGCGCAAAAGAAGTGGAGCACCATGTTGAGGGTGCAGACTTATAAGCACAGTTGGAGCATGAGCATACAATGGGGAGAGCTCAAAAGAGAAACGCTGCAGAATCATTGCTATTGCAATTTTAGCTTCAAGCATTGCAAAGTTTTGCCCAATACAGATCCGAGGTCCAGCACCAAAGGGTAAGAATGTCAATTTCCCTTCAGTCGCCTTTGACACTCCTTTCTTGAATCGCTCCGGTTTGAACTCCTTTGCATCGTTTCCCCATATCTTTTCGTCATGGTGGAATAAGATCACAGGCAATGAGATTAGAACTCCCGGGGGAAGCGATAGCTTCCCTAGCTTAGTTTCCCTTTTAATCTTTCGCATGAGCGATGTTACTGGCGGATACAGTCTCAAAGACTCATTTAAAATCATGGTGACCTATTTAACATTTTAGAACATAAATCAAACATTGAACATACATATAAATATCTGTATATTAATAAATAAAGAATGAACTATCATGGTGATTCTCTATCGAATGACTTACGATTTTCAAGTGATTTAATCCATCAAGATCAGGTTTACTCTTGCCAAATACGTGCAAAACCTCTTCTCGCGCTTGTGTTTGCCATTCTTGGTGTCTACTTAACAACACCATTGTCCACACAAGCAACGAAGAAGTGGTCTCTTGCCCTGCAACATAGAACAACTTGCACTCTTCAATTACCTCTTGAGAGGTCATCCCAGACTGGTTGCTTCTGTGTTCCTCAATTTCTTTGGAATTGGATTTCAACAATATACCCAATAGATCATCCTTACTGCCTTCCCCAGCTGCTTCTATTGCTTTCACTCTCTTATCAATTATACCCTTTATTGATGCTTCAACCATTTTCTTAATTTCCTTCATTCTTCTGTTCTTCTTCGTTGGTAAGAACCTGCATAATTATTATGGTATGCAGACGTCAAAGAGTACCCCATATTGGTTTTTGCTCAAACCAAAGAATAAGCCCGATATAACTTTACCTCCAACCCGGAATGTAAACAGAGCGGAGAAGTCCCATTGCATGCTCCTGTTGCTCTTGTTGCAGTTCAAATATTTTGTTTCCTTCTGCATAGTCACTCCCAAAAGCAGTGCGTGAAATCACGTCAGCGCCCAGTTGTTGAAGGTGAGGCCAGACATCTACTTCAGCTATGTTGTTTTGGTTATCCACTTTCCTCTCCCATTCCCCCAACATTTCGGAGCAACTCAAGTTCATCGCAGGTATCATGTGCTAAATATATTTCGAGCAACGATACCTTAATAACAACAAAATTTTGACCAAAAGGAGTAGATGCCTATTTTGAGAAGAAAATATGAAGGTCCTATTTTTGTTCTTTCTTTATGTTTTACTTCTAATTTAGTCTTTCTCCCTATTTTTTATTGAAACTATATATAATTTAATTTATATGAAAAAAAGGTCTAAAATTAAGAAATTGAATTTGTATATTTTAAAATAAGACTTCTAATGCCAAAACGTTGATATATAATGTCAAAAAATATTATGAAATGCCAACACACATTTCCGAATTGTGACATTGTATAGTGTCAACACTTTTATTTAGGGATAAAAACAAATAAGATCCAATTTTTATATAAGTTTGATGGTTTAGTCTTATTTAGATAGATTTTTTAAAGTTCTATATAACAAGTGATCTTAATGCCATTATTTTTTCAATTGAAGAATAAAAATATGGAAGAAAAGTCGTCAAAATCTGATTGTGTGAATTAGGCGAGTAAGAGCATGTTCTCTTTGTATGCTATGATTGGATCTTGCTATGACTGGATCTGATCATTTTACTAAAGTCTAATCTAATCCGATCTAATGTGATCTGATCTAATTTCATTAAAAATAAGTAATAAGAATAAGTTAAAGAGATTACGATGTCTAAATGACATGATTTTAGAATGGTTATGAATTTCATGAAGCATGAAGTTCGAAAAGGGAGTCAAGTGATTAGACTTAATCAAAATAAATGGAACTCCTAAAAAAATTTGGAAAAAATCAACCTTTAGTTTCTCCATATGAAAGGCAGGGTTGATGATTTTTCTATGTTTGGCCCATTTATCTTCTTCGTAGGTTGCAAGTCCTTGGAACAACAAGCTGGTCAACGGATTTGTGGAAGAGGGCTTTTGAAAGGCAGTATGCTGGGTGAAGATTGTTTTCACAGCTTCAGGGTCATTAACAAATAACATCGGGTTCGGTCCGAGCCACACAAATGAATTCTCACCTATATATACAAATCCCACGTCAAGAATTCAACAACAACAACAACATAAAAGCCGATAGATCATTTAACAAAACTTGCCGTGTTTTCTGATGGAATCGATGTGAAAGGGAATGAGTCTAGGGGAAATGTCATGTGAGATATTCATAGGCTTGGACTTGGCTTCTTTGATGCTCTTGGCAAACTCCTTTTGGTCACCAGAGATGAACTTGTAGGGGTTCCCCTTAAGGCCCTGTTCTTTAAGGCATGCCTGCAGTCTTCTTGGCCTAATCCAACCCCAATTTACTACTCTCCAAATGCATACCAAGAATACTGCAGAAAAAGGAACAGCTAATATGACACCAAACACCATCTTGTATTAAACTGCAATGAATTGAGATGGATGATGGCCCTTTTATAGTTGGAAAGAGCTTGGCAAACACACAAAATAAATGTGTGAAGTGTCAAGTGTGTGAAATTTCAAAAGGGGTGTCAGTAGTTGGGTCTCCTAGCATCAATTGTCAAAAGTCGAGTATCTCTTCGTCCTAAAGTAATGTTCTCAGTCATATATTTTTATACTCGTTTGAGAAAATAGTTTCACTTCCATTTTTTGTGCATTCCACGTGAGACTTTTACCCTATCTCAAATGTCTAAAGTATTTCCAAAATGACTTTTACCCGCAATAAAGAAGAAATGAGGTGTCTTTTAGACATTTTAGATGAAGATAGAAGTATTTTGTGGGATGTGTAGAAAATGAAAATGAAATTGTTTTCATACAAAGGGAGTTTATAGTTTAAGAAAAGATGAAATTGTTTGGTTGATATTTATGCAGAGAGAGAAAGACCAAAGTAGGATTAAAAAATTGCAAATATACCTAAATAAGGCTTTTATATTTTTATTCCCTAAATAAGATTTAAAATGCATTTATATTGCCAAACATGGTTATGTACATTACCAAAAAGTATAATAAGGTTCACATGTACAATGTCATATTACTACAGTGTGAAATCTTATTTCGAGAAAAAAACATGAAAGTTCTGTTTTGGTACTTGTCTCTATATTTTAGTCTTATTTAAGGTGATTTCTATCATAAAGATAATGAGAATCAATGTGGATAACTAAATTCCTTTTTTTATGAGAAATGAGAAATTTATTAAAACAAATAAAAATAGGGAGTGAGTAAAATTTTATTTTAGAGGGGGAGTAAAACAAATAGATGTGGACATGTGGTAGGGCAAGGTTATGGGGCACATCTTCATTTTGGGGTCAAGCACGACTCATAAAGAAAATAGTATTGGTTTGAGCTTATACTTTTCGTTTAGAAAAAAGAAATTACAAAAATAAGAGTAGAATATGCATAAAGTATCAAAATATTGATTTTATATTTTTATCTCCAAAATATGAGTTTGTACTATTACAATATTACACTGTATATTGAAATTTACAATTTTTTTTGATAATATATGATGTCATTATTATCATTGAATTTGTAAGTCCTGTTTTGAAAATAAAAACATAAAATTCATATTTCAATATTTTTTCTATGGTTTACTTTTAATTTGGTCTTTCTTCCATAACGTTTAAATTTAAGTTTTTGGTTTATTTAGAATTTAAAATTGTTTTCTAGACTTATAATCATAATCTTGAACTTGTGGTTAAATTGGTTACTTTAACATGGTATCAAAAACTTGTTAATAAAATGTCACGAGTTAAAAACTTTTAGAGGTCACTAGTTTAACTTTTAACTACATAAAAAATATTGAGAAGATTTTATGATAAGTGTGTGATGATTTATGCTCTGCATAAACATCCTTTGCAATGACTACGAACATATCTCATTTAGGGGCTGTTTGTTTCAGTCTCTTAATGGTTCAGATGTCTGAATGATTTAGCACTTAATGGTTCAGACTGTTTGTTTCAGCCTCTTAATGGTTCAGATGTCTGAATGGTTAAGAGATTTACCTCTGAATGATTAAGTATTATACAGAGTCTGAATGGTTAAGAGCTTTTATCTGAATTGATCAGACATTTGCCTTTGAATAGTTAAGCAATATACTAGCTCTTAATGATTCAGACCTCTTACTGGTTCAGCACTTAATGGTTCAGACCTCTTACTGGGTCAGCACTTACATATTCAGAAGTTACCAAACAGCACCTTAGTCATTTCTTATTGCTCAATTTTAAGTTTTATTTATCTCTTTTCAAACGTACTATCCAGGTTAGGCCTCGGGGGCCCTCGGGAATAGGGTATTTTCCTTTTGGAATAGAAAATGAGAATTACACACGGCAGCTAGAAAGAATATACGGAGTAAAAAAAACAACAGCTTTTTCACATATTTTTTTTGACACGGTAAAGCAATAGCTTTTTGAATATGGATATATGAATACTCCGTCTATGTTACTCCGTATACTTTCTAGATGTAATGGCATTTTCAATAACTCTATACCGGACTACCGGGTCATATTGCAGTGTGCTTTTTTAACGGGGAAGGTTCCCATAACATTGGGAACCAATGTCATGAAATGACCCGAGGGTGTTTCGGTACCTCGTTCGTAAAATTGTCGGTTCCTACCCCTCCTAACCCTTTCGGTAAATCCCCCCACCCCGCCCCGACCCGAACACACCCTCCTACCCCCTTCAATTGCACCCCACAAGTCGATTTTGACTTTGGAGTCAAATTTTGACTCCAAAGTCAAAATCGACTTATGGGGTGCAATTGAAGAGGGTAGGGGGGTGTGTTCGGGTCGGGGCGGGGTGGGGGGCTTTACCGGGAGGGTAGGAACCGTCAATTTTACGAACGGGGCACTGGAGCGCCCCCGGGTCATCCCATGACATTGGTTCCCAATGTCATGGGAAACAAGGTGACTTTTCTACTCGACTTTGTTTGGTACACGAAATTCAAGTCGTGAAATTGGAATTTGAAACTTCAATTCAAATTGCAGTGCAAAAAAGATAAGAGTTTGTCATTAGAAGTTCAAAAAAGAACTCGTGTTGAAAAAATTCAATTCCATCAAATTTAATTTTATAAAATTTTAATTCTAATTCAATTTCGTGTACCAAATAGACCCTTAGTCTTTAAACACAAATATGGAATGGGATCTACTTTTTGAAATGGGAAAACACTTCTAGTACATCATAGTACGAAAAACATATCTGATACATCGTCATTCATCGGTATAATTTACATCATAGATAGGGATGAGTAAGTTCCAAAACGATCCTGATTTTTTTTGAAGAAATCGAGAACACCAAACTGAAAAAAGTATCAGAAAAAACCAAATCGTACGGTATCGAACAATCAGTTTCGTTATTTGGGAACAGTATGAGGTAATTTCCCATATCGAAAATTTTGAACCGAATGTATATTAATATATCCCGAACTAAAAATAATAATATTTTTATATATCTCCAATAAATAATAAATTTATCTTGAAAATTTGGTTTAATTTTCATTATCTGTAAGTTATATTTTTATTCGAGTTTTAATTCTTTGTAGATAGATCTAGAAATATTAACAATTTGAAACACTATATTGATAACACTGGTATCACACCCCGTGCGTTGCACGTCTCGTATTTACGATATGAAAAATATGTTGGTGTCATTAACTTTGAAGTCAGTAACAATATTTGATTTTTTCATTCAGTAAGACTTTACTAACATTACAAAATATAGTAACCGAGACTCGTGAAATTTTAAGATACACCAATGGTTATTTGTATCAATGTTTGTGTCACATGTTTACTACGGAGTACATGTAAATGGAACATATATTACTAATATCATTGTATAGCCTAGGTTTCACCATTTGCATCAAAACAATTGGGGGACGTGATTCTTCTAGATTGAGAAAATCAACCACACGATAAATATGACCACCCTACAAAGTACAATTCGCTCGATTTCCTCTGAAAAATAAAACAAATTTTTACACAAATAATGAATCATAACATATTTTATAATTTCGAAAATTATATATGAGAATTTTGATATTTACACACTTATGGTCCTCTAATGTAACTTCCATCATCCTTTCAGAAATATTTTTTAATATATGAATCTAGACCTGGCAAAACTGACCCGGACCCGATAACCCGAACCGAATAACCTGGAACTGAACCCGAATTGACCCGAAAACTGAAGAACCGAAATAGAACCGAATACCCGAAATGATCCGAACCGAACTGAACCCGAACCTAATGTATTCAGACCCGATTCAGACCCGAATCTGATTAAACCCAAACCGATTAAACCTGAACCAATTAAACCTGAACCCGGTTAAACCCGGAACCGATTAGACCCGAAACTGATTAGACCCGAAATTGATCAAATTCATTAATATTTCATTTATCAAATGAATTTAGAGAAAACGAATTACCTATATATTTTTACATATGTTGATATGTTTCTAAAAAAATATATTTAAATTATGGGTGGAAACCATGTAACTACTTTCAGGTACAAATATTTTACTTTGCATTTTATAACTTAAGTTAAAATATTTTTGTATTTTTATAGAAAGTATATAAAAATTATACGGAGTAGTTAACTTAATTAACTAAATTTATTATTCGATATTATTCATTTATTAGTATGTGTTTACATTATACTTGAACTAATATAAATTTAAACCGATATAAACTCAAATCTATATAAACCCAAATCAATACAACCCGAATTGATACAAACCTGAACTGATATAACCCGAACCAATACAAACCCGAACCGATATTAACCCAAACCGATACAAACCCGAACTGATATAAACCCAAACCGAAACCGAACCGAAAGCCAATCAAACCGAAATAAACCCGGAACCGAACTGACCCAAATCGAACCGACCTGAACCGATTAAAACATATATCCGAAAGAGACCGGAACCGAAAAGACCCAAACCGGAACTGAACTGATTGACCCGATTGCCAGGTCTGTATGAATCTCTAGTGTAAATCGATTAACAATCTTCCCAATCACATCTGCAAGTATTAAATATAGGACATAAGTTTTATGTTATACACTATATATGTGAGTAAGTATAATCGATCTCCCTGACAATGCAAATGGAAAAGAAAATTTTATAGTAAGAAGTCAAGAACTCAACACGCAGATGAAAGAGAGTAATTACGTTTTTATATGACAAAAAGAGTTTGAGAATGCCCGATTTTATAGTAGTAAAATTTTAATTACTTTATTTACTTCGGAACTTGTAGAATGATTCTGATATTGCACTCAAGGTTCACAATAATTACTTTATTTATTTCAGAATTTGTAAAATTTTAATTACTTTATTTATCATAACCTCAAAGTTTGCACAGACATATACTCCGTACATAACTATTAGTGTAGCACTAAAAATAACTACATATGCATGTTTATGCAAAGTTTAGGGCACACTAACTTAAAAAAATGTTTGGTTAGCTAGCATCACTCGGATCATATGAGTTCATTACACCAACACCTCCTATGGTTTGGTAAATATACACCATTACCCCCAGGGTTTCAAAACTTAAGACGTTGTCCCTCATGATTCTGATATTGCTACGCTAATGCCCCTATAGACAAAAATATCTTTCAAATATTAGGTGAATAACTTCGCTACCCCTTTATGGTTTTGGAAATGAGCGCCAACGCCTCCTCTCCTTTTTCTTTATTGTTTTTCTTCTTTTTCATAAAGAGAAGAAAAAAGTTTGTGTGAAATAATGAAAGTTATTTTTTTCAAACCTACATTTTTAAAATAGTTTTAAAAAATAAGAAAAGGTTTATGTTTGAAACAAAAACTTCAACATATACTTCATTTGTCTAATTAAATATTTTCGTTTTTTTGTCTAAAAAGTTTTTATCTTTTTGAATATGTCGGGACAAAAACAATACTGAGTAACGTCTTATTTTATACTTCCTCCGTCCCAGAATATTTGTCCACTTTCATTTTTACACACCATCCAATACACTTCTTTAATCCATTTTATCTTGTAATTTGTATATTAAAAATTATAGAAATTATATATTAATAATCTATATGTTAAGACAAATCAAACAAGATGACACATGACTATATTTAGGCTTACACATTGAGAGAATTTGATGAGTCAAAGTGCTTAAATGAACAGTTGCAAAAGTCAAAAGTGGGCGAATATAGCGGGACGGAGGGAGTATATAGTTAATTGTATATTAATAACATTTTTAGGGCCAATGCGCAAAAGATTTTCTTCATGACTTAATTTTCCATATTCTAAAAAGATAATTTTTCATATACTTTTCTTTTTCTATATTTTATTTTCAATTCTTTTTTCTTTTATTTTAAATTTGATTAAAATAAAGGAAACGGTATAAACTTAATGAATAGAAAATGAGAATTGAGCTTTAGTAAACAAAATAATATTTCATTGATGTTCGTATCATGAAAACGAACCAATAAAGCTATCTTTTAGACATAAAATAGAAATATTTAATTTGAGACTTATGAAGTGTACGTTAATTCTTGTCATTTAATTGATCTTTATTGTAAACACAAAAAATTGATTATTAAAACATTATAAAAAATTAAAAAAGAAATTGAAAACATTTAATAAAAAAAGAGTAGAAAAAAGAAAACTAATAACGAAATGAGAGGCCCCAATTTCCAAAACTATAGGGGGCCGTGGGGCAATTACATAATATTTGAAGGATATTTTAGGTTAGAGGGGCACCGACGTAGCAATATTGGAACCATGATGGGCAACAGTGTAAGTTTTGAAACCATAGGGGGTAACGGTTCACATTTACCAAACCACAAGGGGTCATGTATGGTACAATAAACTCCGGATCATACATTTGACTCCCTTTAGTTTTGAGAAAAGTACATCGTTTATCACCGAACTCTTTGAAAATTGTATGACCTGAACATTAAAAATTAAATCGTTTACCCTCGAATTCTTAAAAAATTACATGATTTACCTCTGAACATTAAAAAGTGCACTAAATATCCCTAAACAATTTAAAATGTTGCACCGTTGATCCTGAAATGCTAGGTAAGGAGTGTGTTGCTCCCACGCATGGGATTTACGAGTATGATTCATTCGGTCATTGTGAATTCTCCAAAGTACCCTTACCCAAATTTATCGTCTTTATTTAAATGTTCAGGAGTAAACTGCGTAATTTCTAAAGGATTCAAAGGTATTTGGTGCACTTTTTAATTTTTATGTGTGAATTATACTCCGTACAAGCCTACTTCCATACGGACCACACCTTTCAGCACCTTTCCTCATCGTCTCTCCCTCTACTGCACAGTACACAGTTGAGCAGTTGACACTTTCCTGCAGTTCATCTAGAATGGCTTGTACGGCGGCGTCCACGGCGCTGCTCTCTTCCCATCCCAGGGCTGTCACATCTATCAATTCCCTCGCGAAACGCTCTTCTTTCTCTCATTGTGCTGCTGTCCCCTCCCCCTTCACTGGTCTCCGCTATTCCAAGCCCTCCGTCTCCTGCATTCCTCGCTTTCTCTCTTCCGGCTCCACTCATTCCAAACACCGCAGATTCGTCGTCCGCGCCTCTGTAAGCTCATTTTTTCGCCGTGTTTTGGGGTTTTTTTTTCATTTCATATTTCTTACCCTACTTGCTTGCAGATGCATGGTCTTCTGGATTTAGAAGTGAGAAGTTTTTAGGCGGTGCCAACCAAAAGCCTTTTCATTCTCAATTCTCCTTGAATTGTGAAAGCATTGAAATTTTCAATGAAGTTGAAATGTATCTGAACATTTTTGTGAACTTAAACCACAGACAAATGGAATGGATGGCTGTAATTACAAATCTGAAATTTGTAGAGCACTAAGTTGCAAAAATAGATGCACCTAGACTGTGTTTATCTGTATTTGGGATCATTAGCACTCTGGCTGATATCGTTTTCTGTCTCTCTTCACACAGACTAAACTTCCGTTGGTAGGGAATAAAGCGCCTGACTTTGAGGCTGAGGCTGTTTTCGACCAGGAATTCATCAATGTAATTTCTTTATTGTATTTCTCAACTCAGTTACCTTTACTTCTATATGTGAAGAAACATTATGCCCAAAAGTATTTACTCATGCAGTTCTTTGCTATTTCGTTGCCCTTTGCAGCCAGTTGATTTTGTTGCTTTGGTTTCAGTATTGCAAACCCTCATTGCTCCATTAACTACCCATATGTTATTGCTCTAATTTTGCAGTGATTTCTTGGCTAATTTCCCAGTTTCACTCTATTGGCATTATCAATTTCAGGATTTGGAAATGAAACCAGTCTTATGCCCAATTTTTGTTGCTTCTAAAGATTTTTTTGTTTTTTTGTTATGAAGAACTTCATAGGCAAATCATATTATTTCTCTTAAATCTTGAGATGATGTCCATCTCTCTGTCAATAAAGTTGATTATTGGACAAATGGCCTCTCCAATTGCAGGTTAAGCTTTCTGACTACATTGGGAAGAAGTATGTGATTCTCTTTTTCTACCCGCTGGACTTCACATTTGTTTGTCCAACTGGTGATTCCTTAGCATGCTTATGATATTCTACTTGCTTCTAGTGCTAGCTTCTATGTTTACTTAGCTACTTTGTTTTCATATTCATACAGAGATCACTGCTTTCAGTGACCGCTATGAGGAGTTTCAGAAGTTGAACACTGAGGTTTTAGGCGTATCCACAGATAGTGTGGTTAGTTTCTTTCTTTCTTTCTTTTTTTGGGGTATCCACACCTTCTTTCCTTGAAGATGATCTTATGGTTTATTATTATTATGCTGTTCTTTGGTGTGAGTGGTCATCATTAATATGGTTTTATTTCATTCAAATTTAAATTATCATATTTCGTTTCTGCTTTACAGTTCTCTCATCTTGCATGGGTCCAAACTGAAAGAAAATCTGGAGGATTGGGCGATCTGAAGTATCCATTGATTTCTGATATGACCAAATCAATTTCAGAATCATTCAATGTGCTGATTCCAGATCAGGTAATATTTTAAACAATTTAAAAAAACAAATTGATTCTTTGAAAAAACCTCTATCTTATGTAATGTGTTGCCAGGGAATCGCATTGAGGGGACTCTTCATCATTGACAAAGAGGGAGTTATTCAACACACAACCATCAATAATCTTGCTATTGGCCGAAGTGTTGATGAAACATTGAGAACCCTCCAGGTACATTTTATCTTACTTGCCTTGTTTGCGATTTGCATCTGGATCCTTCAATTAAAATTTTGGTTTATAGATTTTTTGAAGATATGTAAGTAATGTAACGAAAAACATCAGCCCTGCGGGTGTAAAAGAACTCTGTATGATAACCTAAAATGTGATGTTTCTTTATTAAAAAAATTGTTTGATATTTTGGTCAAAATTTCACTCCCATACATATGCCCCTAACGGCCTTAAGTGCCCGTTGAGTTGGTAGTAGTTTATGGCTTACGAGCTATATCGACCTTACCCACCTACCAAACACTGACTGTATTTGCTGTGTCTTAAGCTCATAGTAAATCGTAGTGCAAGAATTAGAGTACTACGCTTATTCTTAAGCTCATAGTAAATCATAGTGCAATCGTAGTGCAGGACCTACTGGACACTACCGTAACCACATCTTTTTAATATTATTTTCATTCGCTATTTTAGAAAGTTGCCCTTTTATTTACATTCTTAGATAACTTAGAACATTGAGCAAACTCATCCATGCTCTCATCAAATTGAGCTCATTCGCCACCATTAAGTCGAATGTACCCTCACCAAATGGACAATTAAGCCAATAAACTGTGTGCGACCATGTCAACTGTTGTTGCAGGCGTTGCAATACGTCCAGGAGAATCCGGACGAAGTATGCCCAGCTGGTTGGAAGCCAGGTGAAAAGTCCATGAAGCCCGATCCCAAGCTGAGCAAGGAGTACTTTGCAGCTATATAAACTAAAAACAATATATAAATCAATGTGTCTGAACATTCTCTCTCGGCCATTTGTACTTTCGTACGTTTTGTCGTATGAAAATGGATGCTTCAGGTGACGTTTAAATGTACAAGTCGGGGCACGTTTTGCCCGCAACTCAGCATCTCTTTATGCTGCTCAGTCCTATGCTGAGTGCTGACAATTATTCACAAATGTCCTTTTGACTTGCAGATAATTGCGAATCCATTTAGGTTTTTATTTTTAAAAAAAATGAGTATTTAAAGTACTTGTGTCCTCTTTTAATCCCCCCCCCCCCCTTTGTTGATCATAAGGTCAACTATAAAGGTATTTCTTTGTGCTAGTGCTTATTGATTTAGGGGTTGTTTGGCAACTTCTGAATAGATAAGTGCTGAACCAGTAAGAGGTCTGAACCATTAAGTGTTGAACCAGTAAGAGGTCTGAACCATTAAAAGCTAGTATATTGCTTAACTATTCAGAGGTAAATGTCTGATCAATTTAGATAAGAGGTCTTAACCATTCAGACTCTGTATAATGCTTAACCATTCACAGGCAAATGTCTGAATCATTCAGACATCTGAACCATTCAGACATCTGAACCATTAAAAGACTGCTGAACCATTAAGTGTTGAACCATTCAGACATCTGAACCATTAAGAGGCTGAAACAAACAACCCCTTAGTGTTAATAAGCATTTTTTGATTTAAAAGTTTCTTATTAAAGTATTTTTTATAACTCATTTAAATGAGAAATTAGTATATTCATAAAAGAGGTTAAGAATAAGCAAGTTATTTATTCTTTTTTTGACTTGTAAGTACTAGCTTATACGTTTGTGTATAAATATAGATAAATATATCATCAGTTGATTTATAACTTACGAGTAAAATAACTTAGAAGTAGTTTTGTCAGTTTAGAAGTACAGAAAAACACTCTGCATAACATTTTGTAATATATGAGTAGATATAGAAAATTTCTTGTTTTAAAAGATTGATTATAGAATTTATTTTTTTGAAAACAAATACTTGACTCCTACGGAGTATCATTTTTTCTTTCCTAAATACGAGTAAATTTCAATTGCCCCTTTATCTATTTTTGTTTTCAACTTTTTTTTAAACTCCATAAAATCAAATCGTAAACTTCAAAATTTATTGAGTGCACCTAAGCTAAAATGCATGGATGTTTTTATACTCCATATAACTTAACTATAATTACTAAAAAATTAATTGATCTCGTTATATTAATCCTTTTTTTGGGCTGTCTTAAATTATTAGTACTTGAGTACTTGTCTCAAAAAATTACTACTTGAGTGCACCTAAGTACTACTTGTAAATCACCTAAGTACTTTAATAAGAAAGCTTTTAGTAACTTACTTTTTTTCTCTTTCTCTCTACAGCACTTTCAACCACACAATTTCATTTTTTAAAAAAACTCCGCACAAAGTCAATCTGAGAATATTACTTTGGGACTGAGAATATTACTTTGGGACACAGGGAGTATTATATAAATACTCGTTAATTATATGAAAAAGTTCATAATTTTTTAGTTACACCTTAAGTGCTTTTATTCACTTAACTTCTTTCGTTGCACAATACAATTATACTCCGTAAATGATATTGCTAAGTTCCTTCCTTTTGGTTAAAACCACATCTTTTGTTATAAATGGACAAGTCTACCCATTAAGTGTAAAAATAAGAAAATAGAATACATAAGGCTAATCGTGTCAACTTGTCATAACTATACAACTGCTAATAGGCATCATTGATATTCAAACGCAAAAATGACCGCTAATAAAGCTATTCAACTGGAATTTTCCATGTTATTTTTTTTGTTTGCTATTGATGTTACTCCCCATTATTGACTCGTGACAGGGAATTAAAGACAAAGCTTTCTTCCAATAAGAGGGTGGAGGGGGGAAGAGACTTTCTTTTGACTCAGTGTACAGATATACATCCCACTTGAAACATTTAGTCTATATATCACATTGTCACCACAACTCTTTAAAAAAAAAGTTACTATTTGTGGTATCGGCTTGGGCATTCAAGCATCTTACTGACAAAAAATGTTCCTCGACTGGAAGGCGGAGCACAAGAACTATGCCAAATGTACATGCAGTTGGTAGGCATGGCCTTCAGAAGCTAAATGACAATTTAGCATCCAAGAAAGGATTGTCCCAGAAACCGCATCTATCTAGAAATGCATCAAGAAAACACGATCAATTTCTTGAAATCGCAGCTTGCACAAAAAAGAAGGGGGGATGATCAAACAACAAAAGGAGTAACGATAATTGTAAAAACAAAGAGGGGATGAGTTTGAGGGAGTTAACACTTACTTGAGTCCAGAAATGAAAAATAACATGTGCACGAAAGAATTCAAGTGTCATCTTCTTGGTCTTCCATTTCATCAAGGATGACATAGTTTGTGGGGGCATCATTAATTACGGAGCCATCTATTTCATTTTCACTTGACTGCCCTTTTTGTAATTTCACGTACCTGAGAAATGATATTTGTAAGGATTCAAAGTGTACAGGTAAGGCATGAAGCCGAAAGAACAACAAAGAATAATGCATTAGAAGTCATTGAAGTGAAGAATAGTACAGAGTAGATAACTCGATATTGTGAATCTTTATCACCTACTCATGTACTAAATAGATAACCACAAATATCAGTATGAGTACAATTCGGAAACATAAATTATACTCGTACCAAATACTCAATAGATGTAAAACCAACAATGCTTTACTTCATCAACAAATGGGGGAAGACTAGCAAGTTCACAACTTTTATTAATGACAATGTCTTGCTACTTACTTGTACCAATTAAACAAGCTGACACCAAACATGATTGTAACAAGGCCAATTCCTTTCATCCAGGTAAATTCATCATGAAAGTAAAATACAGCGACCTACACAAACAATACAGTAAATTCATGTTCAGTTTCATACTAAAACAGCATGAATAAAAAAATGTTGTACTTAATCAGTAATATAATTCATACCAAAATGGTAACAGCCTCCTTGACAACTCCTGCTATTGTCACTGTCACCGCACTAGTAACAGAGACAAGAATAAATTCTGTCAACACCTGCAACAAATCTGTCCACATAAGAAAAATAGAAGATGCATAAATGGAAACATTTTTAAGTGGTAGTCCTTGAGCTACGCATAAATTCCCAATTTCCCATTGAGAAGATTTAATTGTTAATATGATAATACTACACTGATTTAATTGATTGCACTTGGAAGAGTTAATATTTAATACTCCCTCCATCGCAGTGTCAGTTTTTTTTATGCTTGGACCGAGGAGAGAGTTACTAACATGCCCTCACAAAAAATGGAATAATCCAGAACATTCATTCCTCTTTGCGTCTAACAATTTAACTTTTCTTATCAATAGCAATCTATCACTGGCCTCTTCAACAATTTACATCACTTATAAACTAAAAAGCTCTTATTCTGAAAACTTATTTTTCATCTTCTTGGGATTGTCGTCTAAGCCAGACACTCATTGGTCATAGAAACTGAACAGGACCGAACATGGGTTGGATTTGATTTATATAGGTTTCAAAAGACCCCAGTTCTTGTGAAGGAAAAGCCTTGGGGCTTACACGGAGAGTGAGCCAGCCTCTCAAGTCATTCCTCTAAGCACCAGAGAGAGATAACCTGGCTGGATTTATTTAAAACCTTTTTTACTACCTTCGCACAGAGCTTTCACTGTTACTTGTTCTCGATATCTTAGTCTAGCTTCCAATCTGTTCACTGTTGCACTTTGAGGCTTGAAACTGAGGCAGAGAATTGAACTGAAGCTCTGAGTTTGATGATATGATAGATGCTTAAAGACATTGAGATTCAAATGGCAACAAAGATCGGATATAGAGGAGATAAAGGGTATAAATGTCGTAAAGGGGGTGAGTTAGAATGTTAGATGATGGGAATAATGACACAATAAATCGAAGCTGGATGTTTTTTTTTTTGGGGGGGGGAGGGAGTAAAGAATAAACAACAACAACAACAACCCAGTTAAATCCCACACGAGTAGGGTCTGGGGAGTAGGGTCTGGGGAGGGTGTGTGTACGCAGACCTTACCCCTACTCGAAAGTAGAGAGGCTGTTTCCAAAGAGACCCCCGGCTCAACGTCGAAAGTTGCATTACTTGACTAACTGCTACTTCATTAATTAAAGAAGCGCAGACAGTTTAGAGATCCATTTTAAGTGGGGGTTAAAATGGACAATTGGGACATTTGGACAAAAACAGGTCCAAAAGGGAAAAATGGACAAAACACTGGGACAGGGAGGATGATAATATTACAACACTTTAATTCATTGCACTAGCTGAATCGACTAATACTTCAAAAAAAGAAGAGCAGAATAATATTTTTTGGATGGTTGAAATGAGAGGAAATGGAACTTAATACTTTTAGATATTATTATTTAGTTTAATATATTATTATACTCTGTAGTTTAATAAATACAACTTTAAAACTTAATTAATTCAACATATTCAACAAATTCAGTCATTTCACTGACTTAGGCCATTCTGCAACTTGTCACCACTTCAGCAAAAGTATCTCCCTTACTAGACGGGCTAAAGTTTTTTCTTTGTGACAGCCCTATCTTTTTTAAAAAATAAATTACTCTCATTGGAATATCAGAGGATCCTCATCAAATTAATGTTAAATGTTGAAAACTTGAAATCCGCATTCATACCATAAAGAAAGCCAGTGATCCACCAAAAAGCATCAGTAAACAACTTCTGGCTATATGCCACGAGCTATTGAAGTGATTGCTCTTACTGAATTCACGCCACGGATCCAAGCATAGAGAGAGCAGTGCAGTTGAAATCGTCATCACTGGAGCAACGTAGCTCATTAAGATAAGCGGATTTTTCAAACCTGGAATCAATTAATGTAAGGAGATTAGATTTCTTCAACAAATAGTATATACTACACACGAAAGATCTTTATCTCTAGTTCTCTATTCAGGAGACAAGTTCAAATATGAGCCATTAATGTGCATCCACTTAACTCTGTCCAATAATTACTCTACTTTGAACCCGCCAAATTTGTTGGTTTGACAAGAGCAAAGTCTTGCTAGGCCCCAAGTAAAATATGGGAGAGCATCTTCTAATCTAACAAAAGACACTAATATGCTAGATTTCGGTACTCCTTATTTGATTTTCATGTTTAATATATCCGGCCAAATAGTTGAGCATACAACTTTTATGATGTTCATGGTAGATATTGAGAATCCTACGTGGCTTGTTTACTAGGTTTGAGCCTAATGACTAATGAGTGAAGACCACTTGATGATCATTTTGGGATGAGTTAGCCACACTAGACAATCATTGCATATTATATTAAGTTAGAATCATATTGCATCCTCAACACAATGAAGTCATCAATGACTATATAAAAGAATGGATGGACACAGGACACGTGATACTTGTTTATCATTTAGGGTTTAAGGAAGGAGGTAGCATGCCAACTTCGGCTTTATGGGGAATATTATCCAAGGTTTGGTACATTGCATATTATGTTAAGTAAGAATCATACTGCATCCTCAACACAGTGAAGTCATCAATGACTATATAAAAGAATGGATGGACACAGGACACTGATACTTGTTTATCATTTAGGGTTTAAGGAGGTAGCATGCCAACTTCGGCTTTATGGGGGATATTATCCAAGCTTTGGTACTATGCCTCTAAAGTCCAATGGGGGTTAACATTAGAGCACAACACAAGCCCAAAGCTCTTTGATATTCGATATTTCCAATGATTAAAATAAACATAGTAATCTAGTATTGCTGTGATACTTAACAAAAGATAACCTTAGAGTCCATTTAGAAATGGAGAAAATGATTTCTAGAAAATGACTTTTGGAAATTGAATTATTTTCCACAAGTCATTTTCTTTTTCGGTGTTTGGCTACATTAAACAAAATCAAGGAAAATCAAAACAAGGCTGAAAGAGCCAAAAAAGACCTGGAAATTGAAGCAAAAGCCTGACAAAAAGAACTAAAAATTGAAGAATCCCACGAGTAAGGTGTGGGGAGGGTGTGTGTATGCACACCTTACCCCTACTCAAAAAATCAAAACAAATCCTAAAGGCGGTGTGAAGGGCAATGCGACGGCGTCAAAAATAAAAACAAAGCATGTCTCCCATATCAAAACAATCATGCTCAAGAGCTCTATCAACCAATTAGTGGAGGAAAAACATACTCCCTCCGTCCCATTGTGTTAGTCTAGTTTGACTCAATTTTTGAGTCAAACTGGACGAACATCATTTACTCTCAATTTATATTGCATATTAATACAACAAAGCCTTACCTCAGCTACATGGATCAAACAATGCAATTGTGCCCTATCATGTATCATATGTGCTCATTTCTGTTGTGAGATCAATCATGCGAATGTCCCCCTTGACCACTTCTTTCCAAGTCTTCTTAGGTCTACCTTTTCCACTAGCCACTGATCTATTGACCATTTGATAAACCCTTCTCACCGGATGCTCTATTGGTCTCCTCTCCACATGTCTAAACTACCTAAGACGAGCTTCCACCATCTTTTCTTCACCTGGTGCTACTCCAACTTTATCTCTCATATTTTCAATCCTTATTTTATTCATATGCGTATGACCGCTCATCCTACGAAGCATCTTCATTTCCGCCACACTAACCTTGTGTTCATGTTCACCCTTTGCTGCCCAACATTCTGTTCCATACAATATAATTGGTCTAATTGCAGCATGGTAAAAATTTTCCTTTAGTTTAATAGGTTTTTTGTCACATATAAAGCACGAAGCACTCTGCTATTTTGACCAACCAGCTTGAATCTTATGGTTAACATCATCCTCTATTTCTTCATTGTCTTGAATCGTTGTCTTGAATGTTACACCAGAGATATTTAAATCTCTTTACTTGTGGTATAGTATTTTTCTAACTTTCACCTCGATGTTACTATTTCTCCTTCCATTGCCAAACTTGCACTCCATATACTCTGTTTTCGTGCGACTTATATGCAAGCCATGCAACTCCAAAGCCTGACTCCACGAATCCAACTTCCCATCCAAACCCTCTTGTGGTTCGTACATAAGAATGATGTCATCGGCAAAAAGCATGCACCATAATACGCGTTCTTTGATATGCTCAGTAAGAACGTCTAATATTAGTGTAAAAAGATATGGGCTTAACGATGACATTTGGTGTAATCCTAGGCTGATGGGAAATTCCCATGTTACCCCACTTTGACTTCTCGCACTCATTATAGCACCATAGTACATGTCCTTAATCGCACAAATATACAAAATCCTTACTCCTTTGTTCTCTAAAACTTTCCGCAGTACTTCTATTGATACCCTTTCATACGCCTTTTCCAAATCAACAAAAGCCATGTGTAAATCTTTCTTCTCTCGTCGGTACCTCTCCACCATTCTCCTTATCAAGTATATAGCCTCTCTAGTTGATCTTCCAGGCATAAAACCAAATTGGTTCTCTGACACCGAAGTATCTTGTCTCAACCTCTGTTCAACCATGAGCTTGATCCCTCTCTAGTTTTCACGTCTATGAATATCCCCCTTATTCTTGTAAATAAGGACCAAAATACTCTTATCTCATTCGTTAGGCATCTTCTTAGATCTTAGAATCTCTTTGAAAAGCTTAGTTAGCCACCAAATGCCTTTTCTTACTAAACCTTCCAAACTTCAATAGGGATGTTATCTGGGCCCACTGCTCTGCTATTCTTCATCCGTTTTAAAGCCTCCATAACTTCAATTTCTCAAATACTCTGATAATAATTGAAGTTCTGGTCCTCCCTTGTGTGAAGCTGATGGAGCATGAGAGATTTGCATGCCCCTCATTAAATAGACCATTGAATAATCAAAATTTATTTATCGCATTCCCCTCGTTCAACAAGCTCTTCCACCGCTTGTTTATGCTTTCATCAGAGACTAAAACTTCACCATTTTTATTTTTAATGCATTTAACTTGATCCAAGTCTTGCATCCTTCTTTCTTGATCCTTTGCAATCTTGGAAATACAACTTTCCCCTTCTTTCGTACCCAAAGACTGGTAAAACCCTTCATATGCTCTCATTTTTACTTGACTTACAAAAGTCCGAGCATATGAAGGGAAACAAAATTTTGAACGTTCTCAAAAAGCTAAATTTAATGAAATCATTTTTATTACTCGTATAATATAACTTGTAGTTTTTATTTAAATGAAGTTCAAAGTTTGTCCATTTGACTTGAAAGAGTCAAATTAGAAAAATACACTTGGATAGAGGCAGGATTAGAGCAGTTGGATAGGCACCTTGAACAAGGGAGTAATTTTCTATACTTAGTATTGTGTACTACGTATGCCTGGAATGTTTGGTGCTATTTGCTTGTAGTGCTTTTTCTTTGTTAACTTTAGTATGCTTTCTGACACAAGATGTTTGGTGCCATATATGTGTTTTTATTTGTGCTTCTTTGCTTTCTGTACCCAATGTGATCTTCTATCTATGGAGCTGAGCATAGGGTCTCTTAGAAACAACTTTTCTACTTTCGAGTAGGGGCAAGATCTACGTACACACACCCTCCCTAGACCCTACTTGCGTGGGATCTAACTAGGCTGTTATTGTACACTGGGATAGAGGTAGTACTATTTTTGTAAGTTTGGTCTTATGGTCTACAAGAGTTGTTCCAGATTTCAAAAAGATGATGAATGAAGGCCTTTTATAGTCTGAAGATGGTGCCATCAGGAACAACCCAAACTTCTTGTAAATTCTTCCATCTTCACCGAGGAAAAAAGAACAGTATAGGAACTAATTGGGCCAAAGAACTCATGGAAGAGCCAAACGAGGCGCCGGAATGTGACTTATAAAAAAAGGGAAGTCAAATTCAAATATTTTGGCCTCATTTTCCATTTGACTACATCTTAGTTTCCGTTAGTATTTACACTAGTCATATCTCTCTTTCGGATTTTGTTCTTGCAAAATCGCAAATCGGCAATATGATAGTCAGATATTATCACATAGATCGCTATGTAAAAATTCACAACTACTCAACGTCATTTGATGATGAATCATTCTTATAATACTTTGCCACATTCTCGAGCATTATATTACGTTGATTTTGATTAGGTTGGATTCGGGATGAAATGACGTTTGTTTATTGTGAAATTTTAGGCGGATGACATGTGATATTATCAAACAATCCTACGATCAATTTTACAAGATCATAATCGAGGGAGAGATATGGCGGGTGTAAAAAATGGGTGTCATTTTTGCCTCTCTCTCTCCCCCTTACACACACACACATATATACATATAAGTGTGTGTGTGCGTATTCAAATATATCACTCATGTCAATGCAACTACAACTATGCTCTAATGTGGTGCAACTTTGCGGTGGTAAAAATGTTATACTTATTTACACAATTGTCACCACAATTTCCCTAGACTTTGGGTGTTTTCCAAAAGTAAAATTATTGTTTTTGCTTTTGTACGATAAATAAGTGAATATTTAAGTAAAACTTAATGTGTAGTGTTTTTATTATTAAGTATAATTTTCTTGCCACGTTTTTTAGTGTCTGTAGACAAACTACTTGAGGTGCTTAATTCATGAGTAAATGCCGCTATTTCCCATAAATGATAGAGAAAAAATTGTTACTGGGGACAAATCAGTAAAGTTGTTTAAGATGAGCAACAAGCATAAATTTAAGCAATTCTTATTGAATTTGCGAACACTCCATTTCTGTTTCTTTCATGGGTTCTTATGTTGATGGGAAGCCTAGATTTTATTTGAACCATTGTGTGTGTATGTGCACGCGCATAGAAGCTAAAATTCCAAATGAGAAATTAAGAAACACACATACTCTATATAAATTTTAGAATGACGTAAAATTAAATGAGATGAACAAAGAAACAAATAGAAAACATAAAAAGGTTTAGAACATTGATGTCCCTTACCATAGGTTTCTTTCTTTTTACGCAAGTGTTACATCAGCATACACCAGTGGGTTGCAAAATAGGAGCCAAGAAAAAGTAGATAATGTGAGTCACCTATTTGTTTTGGATATTAAATTCACCAGAACTGTGTTTAAGAAAGACCACAAGTACCCTACCTGCAGAAGTATCTGAGTCATTGTCCAGCGAAATCCCGACATAAGAGCAGCAAACATGACTAAGATGAAACCCCAAAACTGAAATTCTGTTTCCTTTGCAACTGCAAGATTCATCAACACAAGCTGGAGTTAACAATAAGTCACAAACCGAAAAATGGCAGAACATTGTCATAAATATAACTTTAATAATCTCAGCAGCACTAATATCACAAAATGGACACAAACATAGATAGTTTAAAAGTTATTATCCCATCATAAAAGAAAATTAGAAAGAAAAAAAGCATAAAATTTAATTATCCAGAACTATGACAAGTATGCCTTGAATGATAAGTAGACATCAAAATTGATACACAGCTTCCCATGGGCATATAAGCAACAAAAAATTGTTAGCTTTGGTAGCTCAATCTACTCTGTTTTATTCAATTGTGTAGGTACATTCTAAATCCACTAATAACATTACGATCCACGAATAGTGATCTTCTACACCATATTAGCATAGTCTAGCACAATTGTTGTTATTGTTAAAGATATTTGATTTATATAACTCTATATGCAAATAGGTCAAGACCCAAGAGAAACAGGTAGGTGGTAAATTGTTTTTTACCAATTCAACTTTTAAAAATTTATCCATAGGAATTAATAAATAAGAATATACGGAGTATGATAGTAGCCAGATTGTTTATCACACTCTATTTGAAGTAATATGTGAATCATATTAATGTTGGCAATACATAAGAAAATCACTTCAGCGATAAGAATGTTAGATCCTAAAAATCATATACATAACTAGTAAATAAAGACGAAGTTTTGCATACCTGTCAACAATATTCCAATTGAGATGATTAAGATGATGCCAAACAGCTTGAGGCTAGGAGACTCCAGCCTTCCAGAAATAGTTTTAGATCAGCTAGACTATCAGTGTGGACTGAATCACAAAATATAATAATAACAATAAAAAAAACAATGCTTTTGGACATCATAACTGAAGCCGTTTAAGTATTCCTCGGGTAACAAAATGACATAAATCAAAGCTATATCATTTTATTCATTTTAGTCCCTAAACAAATGCATAGTAAGTTCATTCTAGACCTTAACCTGACCAAACAATGTATGCTCAATGGTCCTATGAGCAGCGGTGTTTGGGAAGGAGAAGGAGAAGGGAAGGCAGCTAGGGTTGTGGAAGTACAAGGGATTGCCGGGAATGGAAGGGAGGGGAAGGAATGGGTAGGGAAGGGTGATCTTATGGTAATTTATTATTTCCCAAATTACTCCGTATCATATATTCTCTTACCTTGGCTTACCTCGAAATTAGCCCCCCCAATTTTTTTTTAAATTGTTACCTACCTTGAATTACTTATGTTAAATTACCTTGTCGTATCTCTTTTGAAACAAAGATTTAAACACAGTGTTTTACAAGACATTATTAGGCAAGGCAGTGGTCAAGGGAAATCTAGAAAAGGGATAGTTTTTTTTGTAAGCGTTTACTTAGATCCGTTTAAGCAAGGAGGGTGGTTTTTATTTTCGGTTTTCAGTTTTCCTTTTACGCTAAAATCTAGATTTTTAGAAACCATAAAAGTGGTATTCGGTTTCATATTGACAGTTTTCGAAGTTATCAAAGTTTAGTACTGTTACGAGTAAGTTTGATGAATTATATAATATAATAATATATCATGGAACTTGTTAAATCAAAAAACAAAAACTGAAAAAATGATAATCACAAAACCAAAACCAAAAGACTAGCAAACACCCCCCCCCCCCTCCCCCCAATGGGTTAGATTTAAACATAATAAACATGTTTGTAACATGATTTAATAGATTATTCATGTTATAAATACTAATTCTTTGGAATATGTGACTACGGCCATGTTCTCTTCGCCTGATCTGATTAGTTCTCATCTGATTGTCCTGATCTAATCTGGTGTGATCTGATCTGAATGTAGTTATATTTAAAGATATTTATGATCTAATCCGATCTAATCTGGTTTGATTCCAATAAGAATAAGTAATAAGTAAAAAAATAAGTTGGGGAGAACATATCCTACATTTTGATTAAAATGAGATCAAAGACCAAAAGATTGCTAATCAAAGGTGTTACGTGTTAGAAGTTGTTCACGACTCAACACTCCAAAAAACAGCAAGACATTCCATAGCTAGCTGCTAGTATTGACTTATTCTTGCTCATTATTTAAAAAAAAATCATTAATAGAGTGACATCATGAAATCATTAACCAATTATCCACACAAGAGATAACAACAACAAAGCCTTATCCCACTAGGTGGGGTCGGCTACATGGATCAAACGATGGCACGACGCCATTGCGCCCTATCATGTATCATAACTAAAGCAAGATCATTTATGCGTAGGACACCCTTGACCACTTCGTGCAAAAGAAAAAAAATTAATATTTAAAAATATAGCCTATACCGCCTTGACCCACCTACGACTGCCTAGGTAGCTTGATTATCTTTCAACCTATTTTGGCAAAAACTCAAGGCTCTCACCTTCTGCTTAACACCTAGGTGGCTGCCTGGGCAAATATTTAGAACCATGCCTAAGCCTCATTTGAAGAATAGAATATATTTACAGCCATATTCAAGCATTGCACTTTCCACCTATTGAAACTCAAGGTTTTCTACCATTTGTCTACCATTTGCAAGCATTGCATTGCACTTATTTACCTCTGCAACATACATACAGACAATTTTATACAACTGACGCTAATATACTGAAACTATTAGGAAGTTATATTTTTTCGTTCTGGGGTTTTTTAGTTTCTTATACAACTAGAACTTTTCAAAAATTTCATAGATTCAATTTGAAAATGTTGTTTCCCTGTTTCTAATGGTTGGTGACTTGGTGTCCATGCAACATAGGAAATACCCTTAGAGAACTAGACAGATCCTTTTCTTGGGCTCTCCCAATGGATATGGTAGATCTTAGTAAACTTTAGCACAAACCAAAGAGGGTCACTCTTGGATTGATATAATGTTTCACATTTACAATAGCAAAAGAAAGATATACTATAAAATCCATTATGTACATTTGCATCATGACAAAATCTAACATCTATAATAGTAATCTTTACTAATTACAGGGATTACATATGGAAACGAATTTACCTGAAAGCAAATGCAAAAATTAGCAGGAATATTGGTGCTGCTGATTTACACTGCAATAGAAGCACAATAGAAATGCATTTACGAGTTGAATCATTTGAAAACAGCAACAGTCTAACATCAGAAGTAAAAGACCAAATTTTAGCAGAAATATTGTTTCCTAATACTAGATTACTAGTAATAAGTTATTGAGGATACTTTTATTGATACGTCTACCTAAGATTTGTTTAGTTATGATGCAGCCTGATTCACTGTTCATTTTAAAATTTTATCAATTCCATTGGCTTCATTTTTTGGCTCCTGTTACGTGCAAGAAAGAGAAGTGGCATTAGAATTAAATGCACAATCCCTTTTTAACCTCACTGTGATCACTGTCAATAAGGGAACGAAGCTACAAAAGGTAAGCCAACTAAACTTTCCAAGTTTTCTTTTGAGGGAGTTAGTTATGCCTGTTGAGAAGTCTCTATAGTGATCATATATCTACTATATATAGTGGAATTTGCATTGCAGGATTCAACCATAACAGAAATAATTTAGTATAGATAAATTTCCTTTTTGCATCTTCAATACTTCTATTCAATCTACTATATATAGTGGAATTTGCATTGCAGGATTCAACCATAACAGAAATAATTTAGTATAGATAAATTTCCTTTTTGCATCTTCAATACTTCTATTCAATTAGAACCACAAGAGAAAAGAGAGAAATGTACATCACACAGCTGATGGATTTAAGGGTATGCGTGGACCTAGGCCAGCCAAGATTTAAGCCCAATTAAATCAGAAGTGTAAATGTAGACTGAGATTAGTAGTGAAAGCACGTGCACAACCAAAAGTTGAGTTCGGTTGCCTTTTCTCCTCGAAGAACCCAAGGTGAGCTACTGTTGTCCAAAAGCATATATGGAATAAAAAATTACACATCAAATTCTCCTGTTCATTTTCTGAAATATATTTCTTATATTACTCTGTTTTTCACTATCTCTAATTCTCTACGATTATATCTTTCACTCTTTTATAACATTCTTTCTTTCTTCGTCTAATTTTGAGCTACAAATCTACAACAACAACAAAACTAATCAAATAAATTAGAAACTTGGGAAGTTTAATGTATCATTTTGATTTAGTCCATTTCTTATTTGAAGCCAAAACATTGTCAAAAATGATTGTTTTGTCAAATATATGATGGCTAGCTCACTCTAATTAACATCTAATAAACAATCTCTAAGGACGATTCTCCCTCAGATTCTTCTCCATGGATTCCAACATAGAGGTTTATGAGGATATCATTCTAACTATCAGTGTGTCGTCCTTTTCTCTCTTGTCTGGACTTAGATTCAGACCTATGATGTATTTATGCCCCCCTGATGGGTTCCTCTAGTCCTCTTTGTCTCTTTCATTTCTATCTGTATCTGCAGGTGTAACTATTCTCTACTACCCAGCCCATCGAAGTGGAGCAGGTGGGCAATTAGGATGTGTTTGACCCAATAATGCTAGGTGGGTTACAACTTACAAACCCATTAATAGTTAGTTGGTTACTCAGCATTTTATTTGTGAAAAAAAAGGGTTCTGTCCATTTTATAGTACCAAAACTGCAAGGAAATGCCATCAGTAAATATCTATTTTTATTTTTATTTATATATAAATAAAGTTGAAATGATGACTAACCATAGTTGCAAAAGTAAGCATTTTATTTGTGAAAAAAAAGGGTTCTGTCCAAGTTTATAGTACCAGAATTGCAAGGAAATGCCATCAGTAAATATCTATTTTTATTTTTATTTATATATAAATAAAGTTGAAATGATGACTAACCATAGTTGCAAATGTAACAGTGATGAAAACAAGGGATTCATTGCTCAAGTTAACATCCAATGCAGTGCCAAGAGCTGTTGGTACTACTGTGAAAGGAATAGTCCATGTGTAGCTTTATTTGTTAGAAATTTAAAGAAGATAAGGAAATATAATTAGCTGAAAAGAGAGGAAGATAAATGGCTGATCACAATAAGACCGAAAAAACAAGGCAAAAATCTTACCTCTCAAACAATAATCTCTCCACGACATCAGTACAGTAGGCTTAAATCTTTCAGACCAAATCCAAGTTATCACATTTGCCAAAATAGCTTGCATTGCAAAATGGACACTGTTCATGAGAAGGGGAGCAGGGAACTTTCCTAAATGATCCCCTAGAAGAGTTTTGTTATACCTGCCCCCATTCAAATAGAGAATAAGACAGACACAGAGATTCTCAAAGCTTAAATATTCCAGAACAAACTAAAAAACACTTTTAGATTGACTAGTAAAGGGAGAAACTTACAATGTCAAAAATGTACTGAAAGTATACCAAACAAGTATAAAAAACAATGTCTTCAGCACATCAGAAACAGAAACAGGACTTCTGGAAACCTGCTTTGATGTGTCGTCATAGTTTAAGTATCTCTCATCCCCACTAGGATCAGAATACTTCTGGCCATTTGGCGAACCATCCTCTACATCAAATGGCACGTAGCTCTCTTTTCCATGTCTTGCAGACACATCGCCTAGGTCAACACTGCCTGTCATTCTTTCCAAAGTGTTACCACCAAACTGACGTCCGTCTCCCTCTAAAGATCCATCTGCTACCTCACTGTCGTGTTGATTAACAAGAGGCAATTCAAAATCCAAATCCTCAGAACTGTCGCTCACATCTCTTAATTCAGGTGAATGATGTGTTCCTTTCTCATCAAACCAACCGGAGAAAGAAGGATCTCTCCTAAAAACCAACACCGGATCTCCACTAAAACCAACCCCAAGCTTCTGTAACGGCAACTCACTTTCTACCATCTCAGACCCATACCTCCATCTGACTCTACCAGTCGCAGCAAATCACAACTTACCGCTAGCAGCTGGAACCGCGCTACAATATAACCTAGCGAGCTGCTCTGAACACTAATCCAAATTAACTGGATCTGGCAACTCGGGAATTCCTCACTTTTCCACCTAATAATCCAACAAGTTTCAACAAGATCATGTCCAAAAAACATTCAGAATCACAAAGAAACAGAACCTCAGAAATGAAAAAAAAAAAATCTATTCCAAACAAAAGCAAGGATCAGAGAAGGCGGAGACTCACACCAGTTTCTGGAAAGAAACTCCGAAAAGATGAAGAAGAGAACAGATTTGAGCGGTGTTCCGGGGTCAGGATTCGGAATCCAGATCTGCTGTGTGGAGGAAGACGAATATGGATGGGATGGAAGAAGGAGAAGCTCGTTTGAGGTCAGTTGTTACGTCGTTGTCTTGAGTTGTTATCAGGAAGAGTAAATGGGATCTGTTGAATGTCGCTTAGAATCATTCATGGAAGATGATGATGATGAAGATTAGAACTCCAAGATATCTGCGGATATGCGCGGTAAATAAGAAGCAATGTCTGATCATCAGATAAATGAATATATAAATACGGAATACGGAGTACTTCTTTACTAATTTTAATTAATTAGAAAAAGAAAAGAGCTAAAAATCCACTGGGTGCAAATGGGAGAATGTGATAATGATAAACACAGCGGGAGGAGTCCGTGTTTCCTGGGGATAGGTTTTTCAGTCAATACGGAAGAACGGGAGAAAGCAATTAGCTTTAGTGGTGTATATGGAGTTTTTTGTATTTTGAAAGTTACTCGATATATTCAATTTAGATTTTAAAAAATTATTTAAAATTCAAATATATTCAGTTGGATTTTTAAAAATCATTTAAAATCTCGATGTATCCAATTAAGATTTTAAAAATTTCGTCTAAATCTAATGATATTTAAAATTCTATGGATTCTAATGAATTTTCATAAAGGATAGATTTTGATATATTTTTGGCCTTTGGTATAAATAGAATTCCCCGTTGGAAATCTTCTCAAAACTGTAAAGATTTCAAAAGAATCATCCGCCTGTTTCAAGTCGTCGCTACCATATGCATCTCATGTTTCAAGCCTTCGTCATTTCTCTTCATGTCTCAACATCTCATGTAAATCAATTGATGCATAACTTGGAAGATTATTATGATGGCCAATCTACAGTGAGAAGATTTACAGGCTATTCTAAATCCTTTCATCAATCAATATTTAGAGGATTTTTACTCTCTTGAAGGTAGTGGAAACCCTAGGTCCCGACAATTATTTGAATTTTTTTTCTATCAATTTTGTAATCATTTATTGATTTAAAATAATCTATGGACATTTTGGATTCTCAACAAATCTTGATAATAAATCTATCTAAACCGATAAAGAATTAAAACAATCTACTGAGTTTACATAATCAATAAATTATAAAAAAAATCACATAAAATTTTTTAAAATATGAATTGAAAACACTCTCCTAAAATTAGTCAAGTCAATTGTTGGGCAATTAATTACTCGATACTATCTATGATATGACTTTGTGATATTTCAATTCTACCAGGTGATGTGTGATGCTTCACTAGCTATGATATGACCTTGTGACATTTCAATTCTACCGGGTGATGTGTGATGCTTCAATGATGTATTTTTGTAGATTTCAATTCATCATTAGGTTCTGTTATTCTTTAAATATCTTTTTGGGTTCATCATTAGGTTATGCTACTAGCTATGATATGACCTTGTGACATTTCAATTCTACCGGGTGATGCGTGATGCTTCAATGATGTATTTTTGTAGATTTCGATTCATCATTAGGTTCTGCTATTCTGTAAATATCTTTTTGGGTTCATCATTAGGTTATGCTATTCTTTAAATTGCTTTTTGTGTTAATAAGATTGGATAGATTTTATTTTTAATTTAATTTATTTGATTGTAGAGGTAAAATTTGAAAAAAATTATATACAGTAATTTTTTTGTAAATTTTTTTATATATAGTAGTTCTTTTTACTATATAACTTTTTTTTAATTTTACACGTACACATATAATAAAATAAATTGAATTAAGAAAAAATTGATTTTATATTAGTTTACGAATATCACATCTATTCACTATTAATCGATCTATTACATCACATCTATTCACTATTAACTATCATCAAATCCTATTTTACCCATCACATCCATAGACATTTTGGAAAATGCAAGACCAAAATATTCTCCTTAAATCCCTTAAAAATTAAATTCTCCCATGTTTTCAGGGACGGAGGGAGTATTTGATTAATTGTAAATAAAGGTATACAATAAGATCGGTATTAAAAAATACTTTAAATGTATTATTTTTAATATTTTTTACTAATATATTTCAAGAGATATTATTGATCGAATTTTAAGTTTGAAAGGTCAATTAACCAGACACTTAAATAGGAATGGAAGGGGTGGGCTATATTGTTTAGTGTTCTACATTATGCCTATGACGTCATCCCACTTACCGCCTCTCAACTCTTTCTCTTTCCCATCACAGTCCATCACTGGATCGGGGTATGGATCACATCCAAATTATTTTCCTTTTTTAAAATTTACACACCAATTATTTTCCTTTTTTACAAACTTTTTACGCACTCAAATTTTAATTATTATATTTGCTTATTTTGACTACTCATTTCATAATATAATATAATTATGTTAGCGCTCATTTTTAAAAAAAATGTTGTGTTTAAAGATATAATTTTATTTTTAAATATTACATTTCTAATCAAACAAATTAAATTAAAAATAAATTTGGTCAACGTTTGTAAAGCGGAATGAGAGAATAATTTGGGATGGAAGGAGTAATTAAAATGAAAATAAATTTAGTAATGAAAGATCAAAATCTTGTTTGTGTGCACCTAAAAAAAATTCATTTTATCAATCATTCATATCATAGCATCTTTCTTCTTGGGGGCACCGTCAATTAAGAAAAAAATTAAGTGGGGGCATGTATGTTTTTAATAAAAAAAGATCCATCCTTTTTGAAAGATCTGGCATCGTGATGGACCGTTACAGGGGCGTGACGGGGGGAGAAGCTGGGCAGGGGCGGGGGGAGGGGAGTGAGGGGGCTCATCTTCATCATATGCGGCGGGACGGGGGAGGCGGCTTGAGAGCCGGCTCGGCGACGGCAACTACCGGAGTGGGAGGCGGCACCGTTGCTTGTGCAGAGCAATCCAGATCGTGAATGTTGTCTTCTTATACTTCCCGCTTCAATCCAGAGCCTTCGCATACATCCAGGGTGGCTCCTTTCCTTTTTTTATTTATTTTTCTTTTTTAAACAAATTGCTTGAGAACAATCCATTTCTTGATAAATTTTTATGACAATATAATAGATGGAAATCTATTGAAGTCTACATAGAATTAAAACAATCCATAAATCTTACATAATCCATGGATTATAAAAAACCTAACATAATCTTTTAAAATTTATGTTGAATACACCCCTCTTAGATAACAAATTACGATTAGTAACAAACTAATTATGCAACAAAAAACACTCGCCTTTATCTGAAGTCCACACCCTCCCTCTTTGGTTTCAGTGGTTGCTACCGGCAAGGGGCCGCCGTTGCTGCAGGTTAGCCCTTTTTCCTCTACTCCATTTCTAACGCCTTCTCTCAATTAATCCATTTCCCATCCTTAGCTGCCCCTTGAAATCTTAAATCTAGTCTTTGTCTTTATAGTAGGAACCGAAAGTTACTGTCTTTTTGTCCTCGCATGAGACAACTTGAAGATAGAGAAATGGTTAAAATGAGAGACGCTAGTAGAAAATTACTTTTTTAACACTATATTTAATAGGTAGATAACAACATGAGAGACAAGCGACTGATCGTGCAAAGAAACCAAAGAAATAGTGATTGGCGAGTTTGGTGGTATATATAGCTCACGGATGAGATATAATAAGAGACAAGGACAAATATAAGAGTAAAATAGATCATAAAAGACACAAATATGAGTCTTAATTTCTTAAAACATAAATAGGAGTTATTTTTTAATAAAGTGACAAATTTGCCCTTTTTTAAATATTCATATTGTCACATTGTCGTACTCTGCTACACACTACAACAACCCTACGCCACCACACTAGCTCTCACCGATACCGCATTGTCAACTTTGTCGCCACACTATCACCCTCCGCCGCCACATGTGTTAGAAATAAGTGACCAACGCTAGAGGGGGGTGAATAGCGTTTGATCGTAGAAATCGCAGGAATAAAAAAATTCAAAGGAGAAGTAAAGAGCGTAGAAAGCGTAAAGGGAGTACACAAGATTTATACTGGTTCACAATAACGTATGGCTAATCCAGTCTCCCGAGAGACTCTCTCGAGCTACACTACTTCCGTTAAGCTTACGGGTGCTTAACAAACCGTTACAACCTGAGAACTCGAGTCCCACGAGCCTCAATACACTTGCTCGGAGATACCGCACTCCAAGATTTCAACCCGAAGGAAAATACCTTTCCTTCATACAACCAAGGGAAACAAGCCTCCCTTAACGTGTATACAACATTAAAACACTCAAGAACAAATACTCTCTTTTAGAGTGGATATTGAGTAAAATATATACGCTCAAGAACAACTCAAACTTCACACAAATTGGCTCTAGAAAGCTATGGAAAATGATGTTGTTTGAATGCAATGATAATATGATTATTTTGAAGTGAATTGGTGAGTAAAGCAGACCCAAACACCCCTTTTTATAGTGCCAAAATAGGCTCCAACGGATCATGGCATTAAAGGGGTGATTGGCATGATTAATGAGATTGATTAAAATGTGGATACGCAGGATATTGGCTTTCCCAGCGATGTACGAACTTACCCATCGCTGGTAAGCCAATTTTCCTTCAGTTTTGAAGCCAACGGTCACCTACCCATTGATGGGTAAATGCTTTCCATTGCTGGGTGGGAGGTTGACTTTCAAACAAGAAAAGAATCAGCCTCAAACGACTCACAACGGTCATGCCTAACCAGCGATGGGTATGCCCTCCCATCGCTGGGTTCCCATCGATGGGTAAAGGTTCCCATCGCTGGGTAAGGGCATTGTGCATTGTGATAATGTTAAATCAATGCTTGAACAGCGATGGGTAGAACTTCCCATCGCTGTTTGGCATGGTTTTGGAAATCAGTTGGGCTGAAGGCTGCTTACCCATCGATGGGTAATATCTCCCATCGCTGGGTGGCATGATTCTGTAATCCCGGGATCACTTACCCATGGATGGGTGATATCTACCATCGCTGGGTAGATGGCTAACCCAGAACCATGGCCTAGCTGACCGGCCAAAAAATGCAAAGTTCTCCAAAGTAAAAACTAACTATTTAAAACACTTATTTAATTTATTGTGATGTCAAAACAAGCTTTGTAAGTTGAAAACCACGTAGTTAAGGTAAAAATCACGCTTGACCAAGTCAACGCCGTACACGGGTGGTTTTTACCAAAAGACAAAACCGAAAGGTGGTTTTCATGATGTTTTGATTGGAGAACCATTTAAATGCATTCAAAAACAATTCCCACACAAAAAGACTCGAAAACCACTTCATTTAAGTAAAAACCACGGCTAGCGGTGTTTATGTCGGTTCGCATGGTTTTTTATCAAACGACAAAAGACGAAAGGTGGTTTTTGAAGTGTTTTTGATGGAAAACTATTTAAATGTGCCCAGAGGTAAAAACCAATCATAAAAAGTTGAAAACCACTTGGTTGGTTCGGACTCCAAAAACCAACGCCGATAACCGAATGCCGAACGCCGGTTTCTGAATGCCGAACCCCGGATGGCTTGGTTTTTGGTTTGGGCGAACACCAAGTGTTTTTAATATGTTTAGGCATGCTTGAAAATAATTTGATGATATGTAAAATGCAATAAAAAAATGTTTTAGCCTAAAGAGCCAAAGTGCAAAGCTTGGGTCGGTCTTGATCACATTGTGACCAACTCAACGACGCTAAAGACTACAGTCTTCGTTCTTGGTCTCTTTTAGCTCTTGTTCTCTTGCTTTCTTATTATATTTATTTCTCGCCTTGTATATTCAACATTTTGTCTCGTTCACGGCGGTTTGGCATTATCAAAACCTGTCAGAAAAACGAACACGGCTTTAGTACGAAAACGTGATAAACCCGTGTTTCAATAACATGGCCACCACTACCATTGCGACACTGCCAACATCTATCGCCACAATGTCACCCTCTGCCGCCACACTGCCAACTCTACGTATTGCCACACTGCCAAGTCTATCGCCACACTACCAGCACTATCTTCGCCACACTACCAACTCCTTTGCTGCCACACTACCAATGTAACGCTCTAAAATATACCTTAGAATTTGATAATGAATTCGTAATAAAACTTCATTTTAATTTTTGATTAAATTAAATAAAAATTGAAGCGATAGTGCTAAAACCAAACTATTTTTAAAGTATTCTTTTTATTGTCAAATTTATATTCAAGTTGTAGATCTCGATGAGACGAGTTCATCGGCGTATTTCGTGCGTAAATCTGAGATAGAAACTCAGTGACTTGACCATCTCAAGAATGAAAAGATAGTAAAGTAAAGTTTCATATTCTTCCCATGGCTTCACCACTGTTTTTCTTTCTTTCGGTGTAACT